ATAAATTTTAGTTTGTCATCAAATGACTTCAAGTAACATGAAAGTTGAATTGTGTAGGAAAATCAGTGCTAATGAAAAGACGAAGTTTCAAGTGAAACCTTCGATGCATGTGATTGTTAATCATACTGAATATTCTGGATAATGCACATCTCACACAACACTGACATCCATAATAAATCAGGCTTTTCTTCGCTAACACCTCAATTATTGACATTGTCCTTCTTACATGAATATGATGATTGTACCAAGCCAACAATTTCTCTAAATGTTCACAACGTCACAATAATATTTCAGTTGACATTTTCAAAATTATATATTTCTCTATTATAACAAACATCATCAATTTGATGTTTCGAATAGAAGCAGCATTGAATAAACTTACCTTAATCTAATACTTACTCAATAAAACATTATTTGGATGTAATGGGAAAAATTACTATGTCGATTCCTGAATCAACATTCTAAATCTCATCAAAACACAAATATAAATCTATATGTACGGCTCACTTGAATAAAATAATTTTCTTACTTATTCTCCTCATGTGAATGTTGAAACAAATAAGTTTGCTTCAATGATCTCTGTTGATTAGTGTACAACAATCAATTCATTTGTGCACAATTCGTGATTGTTAATTTAGTGAGTGATAATATATTTCGAAACTAGAGTAAAACAGTTGGTTTTAAGTAAACGTGTTCTATGTGTACTGAGTTGAGCGAGAAACAAATGTAAATAGTTGATCGTAGCTTAATTCTACTGAAATTGAATGTTGAAATAGTGTACAAAATTCTAATTTTCACACAATTACCATCATATCTGCTATGATTTATTTTGGAAATCAGAGTATGAGTGAATGTTGTCATGAACCATATGTAATAGCAAGATGATCATTTAACAAACTAATAGACTGATATAATGAAGAGAGAATTCTCGGTTGTTCAACTAAACTTTCTATTAACATTCAACATTGAATTTGTCAAATAGATTAAAAGGCACTCACTTGATCACCGTCATCGCACCGACGATACAAAATACAGCGAACATAATCATCGTCAATTTCATCTTACTACAAGATTTTCAATTTCAATTGTAATAATTCGCCTATTCATACATCACATTATATAGTGATTCGAGATTCGTTTATTGTACAAATGACCTTATTGTTTAAACATATTCAAAGTTGAATAATTCATCTCTCGACATAATCGGATACGTGTTTATTAGTAAAATGAGAGTTTGTTTACTTGAGAACGCTGAGTGGTCAGTATGAAATAAACTGATTTTCTAGGTCATATTATTTAAAAAATAAATTTAGTATTTTGTTTGTTTATACATCAACTTCATTAGTGTTACATCGGTCACAATGTTTACTAAAAACATGATCCGATCTCACCTTCCTCCACATCATGAAAGTGTATCAATAAGAATAACATGAAAATAGTCAAATAGTTACACAGAAACCAGTGCCATAATCCAGTGTAGTTTCAAGTTAATTATCTAAGCCGAACTTCATTCGTAAACATGCAGTTTTTATTGTTCCGTGAAATGAAGAACATAACTAGGAACAAAATGACATTCCGTTTACAAATGTTCAAAACGACAATTAATTTCACATTTTATATCAATATCTATTAGCAGACAGTAGTACTATATTATTGCGTTGAGATAGAACTGATGTTGTAGTGATTGCTTTCATGTCTGGCTCACTTGTCTTGTGTCCATGTCAGTCATTCACTCATATCCGCGTTGCTTTTTTTCATGTGTGTGCAAGCCAATCTCACTCATTGCATGTCTGACTCATTTTTGTCTGACTTTAAATTCTTATTTATTCTCAATGGAATGGAGTTGTCCCTCTTGTCTTCTCCACTCCACTGCACTTCACTTCGCTTCGCTTTGCTTGTTAGCTCACCATCATCATGTGTGCATCAACATTGGCCTGAAATAAACGCATTCAATGGAACCAGTATTTTGCTTCTTATTACCACTCTCGCACAGTCGGGCTTCGCCTGTCTATGGTATACGGAAAGTGATGGAGTGATTTTGTTCATAGCATACACGATCGTTCAAAATTGTTAGAGCCGGTATGCGGGTCACCAAAGTAGTCAGACGTACATTGGATATAATGCCGCTATAATGTGACCTTTTTTCATAAGTTGCAATTTCATACCTCATGATGGTAGAAACGTTCCGAACCATAACAATCCTGCCTTAATACTGTACTGAAACTACTACTTCATCTTTTCTTGTATGATCTGATTGATTTAAGTCATTCATCTTAAATGAATTTGAGATGTACTTTTAAATTTTCTATGGCTTTCAAAACACAACACAGTGTTTTGCCTATGAAAATGTGTTTCAGGTATGTTCAGTTGATTTCAATGAAGCCTTTCGATTTGACTTTGTTCCATATCGTCTCACCCGTAACACGTTTGAAACGAAAATCTTTCAAGACCTGGATAACAATCTAGTTACATTGTTAGCTTTTTGGAAGTGGATTGTAAGTTCTTCATAGAGATGTGCTTCCCACCAACTAACCCTCACAGTCCAACATCGTTGCAGTCACTTTGCTTTGTTTCACTCTGTTTGATGAACGATTCGTACTAATCCACTAAAATACTTCTTCTTAAAATTACTACTTCACTCACTCCATACATGTCAGTTTCGTCCTGTTTTAATTGTTTTTCAGATGAATGAGTGGTTAGTTAGAGATGAACAAAAACGTCCTTCTGAATAGTTTTCCATTTGTTTGCTCTTCATAACTTCATACAGTTTATAATTCAATTACAAAAGCTCTTATTTGTCATCTTTCTTGCCGAAAGTCTTTTTTCTGATCTATCATAACATTTACGTTTTGTTAATATCAAAGCAAATTTCTGTTTATTTTATTACGTCAGCTTTAGTACCAATTATCACCTACTTTTACAATGTACTGATTTCTATATATTATCTGTTCGCATATACTGCTTGCTAACATTCTTTCTTGAAATATTTGACGCCGAAATTTGAACGGGAATTCATGATAGTTTTGCTCTCATCAGCTGTTACTGAGATGATTAAATATGAACATTGTTGAAAGAGAATAGTACCCTTTCATAAAATGACTGAGAGTAAAGCATAATTGGTGAATTATATCACACCTACTTTTCAAGACAGAAATGTTTTGATGCTAGTCTGAGTTGATTCTTCAATGTGCATAGACGGAAAGTGCTAAATTAAGGAGAAATATCTGTCCAATGTTCAGTAGTTCATTTGCTGAAATTATTTTGTGATGAAATTATCGTCCTGAAATATGTGCAGAACTATCTAAACTAAAATAAAAATAGTTCGGTTTTAGAATTTTATTTGTTTTAAAATGTTCTATTTCACTGAGCCTTTGTGATATATGGTGTATTCGATATTATTTACTAAAATCAGTGGAAGTTTACAAATTATGAAATTATATTTTTAATCATTATAGTAATGAAAGCATCTGTTCATTGCACTGACTACGTTGTTTTATAATACTAATCAACACTCATTTTGATCATGGTGGCTTAGATTAGTATTGCTCAAAACTTTCTACAAAATATATAAATGTTATAATGACATTCATCTGATCAAAATTTCAATTGAAGATATGAAAATATAATGAAAATATGTTTTTACGACAATGTATGACCTGCGGTACTTTCATTTCTGTAATGATTTCTGTCACTTGATGTATATGATAGATAAGAATTAAATTGTCTTGGGTATATGAATTTGGATGAAATTATCTCTATCGAGACCTGCTACTTAAATGTAGGGAACGGTAATGCTGTGGGTATCACAAGAAGAGTTTAAATCCAACAAACTAAAGGCGATTGTATACAAGCAACAAATGATATTTTAAGTGAAATAGTCTATAAGCAATAGGAAATCTATCTAAAAGTCACAAAGTGTAGATTACAGCAATCAACACTTCTTATAACAAGTATTTCAGGCATTTGAAAGCGATGCACCAAACAACAATATGAGTATTCAGATAACATAAATTTCATTCAACTTTTTAACAATTATTTCATATATATTGTACACTAATTTCGGATATACTCAATCAATGATTGACGATACATTCCAATAGCTTAGTCCATTATTCAGTAAACAAATACAGATGACTGGATTTCAGCAGTTCAAGTAGATGTAGCTAAGATATCGTATGAATAGTTGATGAATATAGTTATTCAAACGACTAAATGTCTATTCATATTAACATCTCAATTCGGTGAAATGAATTGATTGCCTCTTACAATGATTAACTACACAGATAAGCCAACATTCACAGTATTGACATAATTACACTTTGTTTTCTAACAAACTATATTTTCTCACTTTCTTATTTACTTAACTAATAGAGTTAGTTTAGAGTTTTAAACGATTTCTTAAATATAAACTTATTTGATTCATTTATCTTGTACAGATACAGTTAAATGAGTAATCAAGAGTAATCTTTTTTTATATAAAACAATCTGATCCAACCAATCATTCATGCTATCCCATGGTCAATAGTAACAGAATCGATAAATCAATGAGTAAACTTCATTTATTGTCGACTTCATGACCACAGAATCGGGAGATTAACAAACAACTACAGATTCTGTGATGATTTGATGGTTCTAAATAAAAATATTCATTCATTTCATGGAACAATAAAAACTGCATGTTTACGAATGAAGTTCGGCTTAGATAATTAACTTGAAACTACACTGGATTATGGCACTGGTTTCTGTGTAACTATTTGACTATTTTCATGTTATTCTTATTGATACACTTTCATGATGTGGAGGAAGGTGAGATCGGATCATGTTTTTAGTAAACATTGTGACCGATGTAACACTAATGAAGTTGATGTATAAACAAACAAAATACTAAATTTATTTTTTAAATAATATGACCTAGAAAATCAGTTTATTTCATACTGACCACTCAGCGTTCTCAAGTAAACAAACTCTCATTTTACTAATAAACACGTATCCGATTATGTCGAGAGATGAATTATTCAACTTTGAATATGTTTAAACAATAAGGTCATTTGTACAATAAACGAATCTCGAATCACTATATAATGTGATGTATGAATAGGCGAATTATTACAATTGAAATTGAAAATCTTGTAGTAAGATGAAATTGACGATGATTATGTTCGCTGTATTTTGTATCGTCGGTGCGATGACGGTGATCAAGTGAGTGCCTTTTAATCTATTTGACAAATTCAATGTTGAATGTTAATAGAAAGTTTAGTTGAACAACCGAGAATTCTCTCTTCATTATATCAGTCTATTAGTTTGTTAAATGATCATCTTGCTATTACCTATGGTTCATGACAACAGTCACTCATACTCTGATTTCCAAAATGAATCATAGCAGATATGATGTGTAATATTGATGTGAAATATAGAATTTTGTACACTATTTCAACATCACATTTCAGTAGAATTAAGCTACGATCAACTATTTACATTTGTTTCTCGCTCAACTCAGTACACATAGAACACGTTTACTTAAAACCAACTGTTTTACTCTAGTTTCGAAATATATTATCACTCATTAAATTAACAATCACGAATTGTGCACAAATGAATTGATTGTTGTACACTAATCAACAGAGATCATTGAAGCAAACTTATTTGTTTCAACATTCACATGAGGAGAATAAGTAAGAAAATTATTTTATTCAAGTGAGCCGTACATATAGATTTATATTTGTGTTTTGATGAGATTTAGAATGTTGATTCAGGAATCGACATAGTAATTTTTCCCATTACATCCAAATAATGTTTTATTGAGTAAGTATTAGATTAAGGTAAGTTTATTCAATGCTGCTTCTATTCGAAACATCAAATTGATGATGTTTGTTATAATAGAGAAATATATAATTTTCAAAATGTCAACTGAAATATTATTGTGACGTTGTGAACATTTAGAGAAATTGTTAATCTTGGTACAATCATCATATTTATGGAAGATGGACAATGTCAATAATTGAGGTGTAAGCGAAGAAATGCGTGATTGAATATGGTAGTCAGTGTTTTAGGAGAAGTGAATTATCCAGAATATTCAGTATGATTAACAATCACATGAATCGGAGATTCCACTTGAAACTTCGTCTTTTCATTAGCACTGATTTTCCTACACAATCCAACTTTCATGTTACTTGAAGTCATTTGATGACAAACTAAAATTTATTACCCATCTCTCACTCTCTTTCTCTTCATAATCGATTGCTTTCTCTGTTTAATTTCAGAGCAACAAGCATAGATATAGCAGCTCATCCTAACGAAATAGATGCAGATTATCAAAAGGAAGGTGGACTGGTATTTATTGCGATTTTATTATATTCCATCTGTGTTATTTTTTCTAAAGAAATCTATATGCAATGTATTCAAAGAATCGTACATGAAAGGACGCCGTCACATATATGCAGTTATTGATAAATATATACGAAAAGACGATTTAGGCACAAAGATGCATGAAGTTGCCGTAATCCGTAAGTGTTCTTCATCATCCATACATTGATTTTGTTGTTTAGTTGGAGGACGCATTGAGAAACGTATGAAATACTTTGCGATGCATCTAGACAAGATGTTGAATTTTGAATCATCTTAGATTTATCTTATAAAATGGTAGTTAATATTGTTGTGAATTTCAGACGCCAATTTCTGTTTATCACTATCTTAATAAATTTGAGTAAATAATAATAAATATTAATGAGAAAGTCTTGTTTTCGTGTTAAGTAACCTGACGGCAAAGCATGGTAATTACCGATAATCGTTGTATTGAATAAAAGTAAGGAAATATAGTCTACCAGTATGATTAGCTGTACAAACTTTCATTCTCGTTGGTTAGGCGTTTTTATGTAGAATTGCTTTTACTGAGGTACTAAAATTATTTAGGAAAAGGAAGATTAATAGCGTACCTCGGATTCACAGACTTTCTGCATAGTTCATGAAAGGCAAACGTATCTGTTTATGAGTTGGTGAAGATCAATCTGGATGATAAACACTTAGATACCTGAAAATAAAAGAGCACGGATATTATTTATGTGATTAAGTTACGATCCCTCAGTAACAGTAAACCCATGTTGTTGGACCGCAAATTGATTGAGAGTTTGAAGGAACAGCGAGAGATTTCGGGCGTTTAAATGTTTGATATAGTCAACGTTCAGTTTTGATTCAAGAAGTGTGTTATTATGACTCAGAAGGAGAGAATCGTGTCGGATTTATTAATCATATTTCACCGTAATTATGCCAGTTAATTAGTTTCAGTAAGAAGTTACTAACTTGTAAAATCTCTTGAATCACTTTTACTGAAGTTAATCATCTTCAGCATGTTGACCATTTCATCAAACATGTATGTGGTTATTGTAATATTTGTGATTGTTCACAAATGGTCAATTCACTTGGATATCGTTAATTAACCTTTGAGAAACAAACAGCCATTTACTATATCAAAACAGAAATGGTGTTTGCACGGTTATGGAAAATAAATATGAAATACATTTTCCTATCACTCAAATAAACATTGTAAATCAGTTATTCATATTCACAGCTTATGTAACACTAGTCATTAAATGAGATATGACAGAAAGCTGAATATGAGTTGTGTGGGTGAGCTTAGACAGATCATGGGCTTGTTTAAATGCCACGTGAAACTCAAACATGAGATAAGACATTGTTAATAGTACACGGTGTTGGAAGAAGTCGACTATGCTTTTGATCACAGTCTCAGCACTCCACTGTTCATAAAAGTTAAAATGACATGTGCAAATGTCAATGAGATGATTACTTATTTATTTATTTTTACAGTCACAACTTCTTAACAATATCTCTGTCTTCTCACTTGAATAGGTGTTTGGGAAAGTGTAAGGCAAACTTGCGTGTGAGTCAGACTAGTGTGTCATAAAATGTTTGAAATATATATAAGAATATGGCGCTAATATAGATAGTTACTGGATATACACTAAGTCGAATGGAATTATTACGCAGCTGCAAATTAAAAAAATAATCAATAATTTTAATCACATAATTGAGATATTTATTGAAACATTGAAAAACGTGGAAACTGGCTGGCAGCAGAGTGCACGACGCGCGTGTATTTCTATTCCGCACTCATCAACTGGATGTTATTGCATCTTTGATTTGTGTACTCTATGACTTGAACGTTGTGCCGTTCACCTCAAACACCATTGTGTTATGCACTTAGTTAATGAGTTCAGAGGAATAAGTCTTCACCACATTACATAAATAAGTGGCAATCCGAACCATCCAGCCATCTTAAATTAATCGATCGTGAGTTCGATTCACAGAGTACACAACTCTGAGATGCAGTTCTCGGATCCATCTGATAAGGCCCGAGCAGAACTTCATGAGCATCATGCACTCTATTGCTAGCTCCTATCCACCTCTGCTAATAATGTTTGTAAGCAATGCAAATGAATCAATTTAGTGTTGATACGTCAAAGTAAGAATCCTATTTTCAATTGATAGAATGATGATGTAACCGAATAGAAAACCTCAATTTTAACAATACCATAGTCGAAGTCGATAGTAATTAGTTGTGATTAAGTGATCGTCTTTTCAGATTATCGTATTTGATCAATGGGAAAAAGGTTCTTGTAGTGCAATAGAGAGAAAACGAAATACTCAGAGATGTTCGGATAAACAATGAAGGCACGACATTTGATTACGATTTGTAGCTTATTTCTAGGAATCTTGAACTGAAGTTTAAAAGTATTTGTAAAGCTTCTGAAAACAAGTGTTAAGCTTATTGTGGAATTTATAGTATCCAATCCTTTTAACAATCAGATCGGTCGATAGAAATACAAATATAAGATGGAAGAATCATCACTTTAACTCATCACCAATATATGTACTCAGAACTTTAATTAGTTCTACGGAGGAAATCAAAATTGAGATAGTAGTAGGTGTTTGAAATTATTTAAATACAGACTGTTTACAATTCATTTCACAAATCTCTAAGGTTTCACAGATGAAAACAATTTCTTTTATAAGGTTTTGTAAAAATTTGAGTAACAATATTGTTTTCCAACTGAAGAGGTTTTAGAAAAGTGGAATGATTGTTATACAACATTGGGATAACCTGAACACTGTGGCGATTGTTATATATTAAATATGTTAGTATTTTCTATTCCATCTTACTCAATGTTTGCATACCGTTTACTTCAATTATATGGATGGCTTTAGAAAAGAAACTTTAATGACCCGAGATCTGAGGCCATTGTGGACAAACAGTGTAAAGAATATGCTATTCGGTTTTCCGTACATTACATTATGGATGACGGTAGTCATTGGAAGCACAATACAGACATAACGACGGAAAGTATAAAAGCGAAGCGAAGCAAAGTGCATCAACGAAAGTGAGTGAAACAACTCAATGTGATGAGACATGACAAAGTACTTATAGTCAGACAAAACTAAGTTAGATATGTGATGAGCGAAATCAGTGTACATACACACTCAAGTAAAAACAATCAAGGTTAAACACGAATAAATAATGACGAAAGACGTGTTGTGAATGACTGGAGAAGAATGGATTAGTTAATTTGTGAAGATGTTGGGACAAGCCATATGGGCTCAACATATTAGTGAATGCTACATAACTATTGATGACAAGTTATTGAGTAGTAATTTTTTTTGTTAACATTGAACACTAATAGTTTATCTAGAACAAACTTTGTAGTCTACCAACCCTAATTGGTGTAATCAAATTAATCAGTTTTATAAGTCGTTTTCCGAAAGTATTTAGGTTTTTGAATCTTCAGTTTGTTATAAATTTGAGACAGAACGCGTTCTCACAGGTGGTCAACCGTCTTATGACTATTTTCGTAATCAACTAATTCCAGTTATCTATAATGAATAGTATAAGAACTTTCTTCCATATGTGTTTCTTTATGAACAATTTATAATTGAAAACTACCACTTTGAAATTACGCAATTTCATTGGAAAAATTGTGATACTAGAGAAAATAATATTTCGTTGACTGCTGACATCTTTTATCAAGTGTCTACAAAATATCTCTAATTTTTATTAAACTTGACCTTTTAAATATCTGTTCTTTGATTTGCTTCTTTCTTTCCTTGAAATGATGATAGATTTCAAAATTTAGAAAAGCAACCTAAAAAGCTTATACACTCAGCTATCATAGACTCGATTCTGTTAATACTTCACATGATCTTACCACTATGATTGATGCTTATGTTCTACCATATATACGACAAAATTGTTAAAAAGCTCAAATGTTCACGTACTAACAATTATGTACATCTAATCTTGAAACATACATTTGCCATGTAAGCAGCTGTCTAACTGCTTTCATTCATTTCTCTTCTGGTCTATCCGATTGGCAGCAAATTGTAGGCGATATTCCACTGTATACTACTCTTGTTGTATCCCTTTTTTGAGTAGAACCAATCACGACATTTGAAAATAAATTGAATCATTGAATCGGTTCAATGAAAAACATTTTCTTCGTGCGTATGAACTATTCGATTGGCTTTTAGATACAATAATCACTACTGTTTAGTAACAAATCAGTTTTATGTTTGAGAAATAATTGTCAATATTTTCTAGTTTACTGTCGATATCATGCATAGATTTCAGCTTGTCATGAGTGTAGATTAGTTCATTCCACATAACTAAAAACAAAATTACTTCCCATTTTAACATGTTCAATATCACAATTAATTTCACATTTTGATATCAATATCTATTCGCACACAGTACTACTGAATTATGGCGTTCGAATAGAATTGATGTTGTCGTGATTGCTTTCATGTCTGGCTCACTTATCTTTCGACCTTGTCAGTCAATGACTCATTTAAGCGTTGCTTTCATTCATATGTGTGCACGCCGCTCTCGCTTATTACATGTTTGACTCATTACTGTCTGACTGTAAATTCTTAGTCATGCTCCATGGAATTTTGTTGGATCTCTCGTCTTCTCCACTCCACTGCACTTCACTTCGCTTCGCTTTGTTTGTTTGCTCTTCATCATCATGTGTGCATCAACATTTGCCTGAAACAAATGCATTCAACCGAATCCACATTCGGCTTCTTATTACCGCCGTCGCAAAAACGGTCTTCGCCTAAGTATAGTAAACGGAAACCAATGGAGAGATTCATTTCATAGCATACACAACCGATCATAAATACTGGAGGCGGTTCGCGGCACACCACAATTAGTGAGCCTTACATCATTCAAATACTGCAACAATGTGACCTTTTTCATAAGATGCGATTTCATACTTCTCGATGGTGGATCCCTTCCAGGGAATAGTTTGCTTTTCATAGAATGTGAATTCAATATGTTTGAATACTTCTACATTACAAGCAATTCTAACAATATGTATTTCATAAACTAATGACAAGAATAACACTGATGATGAGATCAACTCGAAAATCTCTACCTTAGATAAACTGTTGTACTTCTAATGTTAAGCTTTCTATTTCATTTTATTCAGTAGAATGTATTTGGCAAGATTCAATGGAAATCATTGAATTTATCTCAGTTTGTCCGATCTAATCACATCCAAGTTTATATTCATTTCAGAAGGTCAACCAATATTTCATCATGTACACTTTGATAATTATCTGCATTAAATACTTCTTAATAAATTTTATATTCGACGTGATAGTGATGTACAGTTGCGAACCGTAACAATCCTGCCTTTAAACAGCACTGATACTACTACTACTACAGATTTCTCTGTATGATCTGACTGATATAAATCATTTTGCTGAAATGAATTTGAGATGCATTTTTAAATTTTCCTTGGCTTTCAAAACATAACACAGTGTTTAGCCTATGAAAATGTGTTTTAGGTTTGTTCAGTTCATTTCAATGAAACCTTTCGTCTCTCCCGTAACACGTTTGAAACTAAAATTTTTCAAGACCTGGATAACAAACTAGTTACAGTGTTAGCATTTCGAAAAAGTATTGTCAATTCTACATAGAGATGTGCTTACCACCTACTTACCCTAACCGTCCAGCATGATTGCAGTCACTTTGCTTTGTATTACTCTGTTTGATGAACGATTCACACTAATCCACTAAAATCCTTCTTGTTGAATATACTACTTCACTCACTCCATACATGTCAGTTTCTTTCTCTTTTAATTGTTTTGAGTTGGATGAGTGGTTAGTAAGAAATGAAATATAACTTCCTTCCCTAAATGCCAAATAATAGAATGTAACTGGGCGTACGAGCAGTCACTGAATATAAAATGTTATACTGACCTCCATCTTATCGAAATTTTAATTGAAGACATTAAAATATAATAAAAATATTTTCTTCTAACGATGTATAATCTACGGTACTTTTATTTTTGTAATGATTTGTGTCAATTGATATGTATGTGAGATAAGAATTAAATTCCTTTGCGTATGTAAAATTCGATGAAGATATCACTGTCGGTTCCTACTACTTAACTGTAAGAATCTGCAACGCTGTGAGTATCACACGAAGAGCTTAAATCGCGCAAATGGCTGGCGACTTTACATAAGCAACAAATGATATTTGAAAGGAAACACACTTGTGAGAATAACCAAAAACTACAGATTCTGTGATGATTTTATCTCTTTAAATGTAAATATTTATTTATTTCATGAAACAATAGAATACTACATTGAACAATTTCTATCATGATGATGTTTCATATGCCAACATTTCATCCAATTTCTGTGTTAGATAATCTGCTCGTTTTTCCATACGCTTGCTCACTGATCAAAATATATGTATTTATATTGATTAGAAATATTGATCATTTATATGAACATTACTTACGTATTTCAACAATGTCGAGTATTTTCTTATCTAAATCATTCTTTCTCAAATAAGTATCGATTGTTTTCTGCATTTTCTTACGTCCAGATTTAAAGGATTTTTTTAACACTTTATATATTGCTTTCTTAGATGCAACATTATGATAAAGATCATTAAATTAATGCAAAGGAAAGTAGTTACCATTCCACGTTTTGAGTCAACTTGATCATCAGTGTCATTGTCGTCTTCATGTTCATCATTCGTTTCATCGTTTTTCTTTTTCCCTTTTTCCTCCTTTTTCTCCTTTTTCTTGCCATGATTATCGTCACTTTTCTCTTTATGTTTATTCTGTTTGTCAGTTTGTTCGTCAGCTTCATCTTCGTCCTTATTTTTCACTTCATTATTGCCTTCATCATTCTCTACTTTATTGTGTTCAGGTTTACTAAAAAAAATTCCAAGAAATCGTTTTCAACAGTAAATGAATCACACATATACACATATACCCAAAGCATATTGTTATCTTGAATCTTGAAGTAGTCAATGAAAACGGCATGGATAATGTCGCATTTCAAACTCATCTCTATTCAGTATGAATTGATATGAGTAACAATTAAGCAAGTAGTCAGATCAATATGAATATCAAAAATAAACTTAAGAATATGTGAATAATCCCTTAATTGCTGATGGAAATTTAGACACTGATTAAAAATCAATTCATTTACGCTATATGAGTGAATTTACAAGTAATTTGGGTAATTCGCAAATTAATTTCCAATTTCTCTTGTCGAATCTATCACTGGACAAATTGTCTGTAATCTGTTTACTATGTCCTCGTTTAAACAAACCGGAATTATGTTCGATAGGTACGGAAATAATTAGTCAGTCATATTGTAGTGAACGAGAACACAGGTGGGGCAACCGAATTGTATTTAGCGAAATTACAGAGTTACTCAGTAAAATCGGAAAACCATATCGTAAATCGTTAATTTGCGAAATATCAGTTCATCATATCGAACTGGACTGTTCCTGCTGCCAAACATCAATCCATTGTCACTATTCATGCGTTTCATACAAATTCCATTGTTTTCTAACTCTTCCTTTCTTGATCTTCCCCCATCTTCTACTGCCAGACATTACGTTGACACTCACGTCATATACTACTTATAAGTAACTCGCACCACAATATTTGTGATTGAGAATTTTAAAACAAAGTGAACACATGTAAATAAACTGCATTGAATATAAAAAGTGAATGAAATAGTGCAAAAGACTACAATCAATCTTTGATTATGGATGATTACTTTTTACTGAAATCATTTAACGATGATTGTTAGAACGCTATCAGAAATCTGGATGCCCGTTTCGTCCTAGAGTGGCACCCATCTGCTGTATGCACGCATGACTCTCGCTCGCACAATTCGAAGTTAGGACTTTCAGCTTCGCTTGCGCACACCACATCTCCAGATTACTTTTTCGTATGTTAAATAGCATTAATTATATGAAATCGTTTCTTCTGTTAATCTGTTTACTGACAGTATAAGAAATTATTACGTATTGTTTTGTAATTTCCCACTTAGACAAGAAAGTTGGTGCATTTGACTTTGTTACAAAATATTTTTCAGAAATATTTATTATTCCTTTAATCCACTATGTAATGCGAGAAAAGTTAGATGTGAATTGATTTACTCAATTAATTTCTGGACATGATTAGAAAAAGCAAACAATTGAAAACGTTTAACTCACAGTAACATCGTTGAATAGGCCATTACAATGCATACCAAAAACAGTAATATCATAAACTTCATTTTAACTAACGACGAAGAGATTGTTGTAAAGTGTAAATGTTGTTAAAATGTTAAATTATATAGTGTTCGCAAAGTCATCATGTCCTATTTTGCATTCATGTCATAAATTTTATACAGTTTTTTTTTTATTAATAAGTACTTGTTCACAATTAAGGATATTTCTAGTATGTTTAGTTGTAGTTACTGAACAATTATGCGATTCGGGTTATAATGAAAGATTTGACCTTATCAGCAGCGAACTGTTTGATTGTTTACATTTCATCATGAATGTTCATCTGTGTTCAAACTGATGTGCTAATTTCATTAGTGTGTGTGTGTATGTGTGAACATATGTCGACTTTCACTAACTAAAGGACAGGAAAAGATCATCAATAAATATGCCTGACAAAAAAACACTGTACTTCCGTTTCGATTTGATTAGCATCTCACTCGAAAAATTGAAACATTACATAAGAACAGTAAAAACAGTTCAGTACATGTGTGAAGATATTGATTTAAAACAAACAGAACATAAATGTTTGGTACTTAAGAGGAATCTGTTCAGTAGGAAAATAGATCTAATTATAAGATTTCAATGTATAACACCGATATTTTCATTTCATGAATATTTTTGTTAGAAAATCTTAAATAAACATACAATAACATCATTAGATTTCACATACTGGTTAACCAACAAGCCTGCTGCACGTACACATCGCTGCTTTTTAGGCAACCTAAGGATTTCCACTGTAGCCAACAGTAATCACGCCTGCCCCAATCGGGAACATACATGTTGTCCAGTACAGACAGGTGGACGTCCAAAAAGCACGCACACGAACAGTGGCCCCCGCTCGGGCACTTATGAATCAACAAGATCCCTCAAACCAGACCACTACCCACAATCCCCAATCGGCAAGGGCAACAAGGCGGGCTTACCCAGCTGGACCTGGCACCCCGAAGCGGGTTACCGTGCCACCCAAGCAGTGCACTAGCCAGCAGCCGTTCCAACCATCTGGCCTTCAACTGCCTTGCGCTGATACAGTCGATCGGAGTCCCCAAGGCCCCACATGAAGCTAAAGATCGAGTTTGTCCCACAAGGTCAGCCGGAACGTACACCTTTCTATGAGGAAGATGTCATGAGTTCGACCAAGCGCAAGCGCTCAGCCAAACAGGGTTCATCCCACTACGTAAGTGGGCAGACATCATCGGCGTCCAGTACCAGTTCAGCACTGGACACCTGGAACCCTACTGGAGACACTTGTTTAAGGGGCCTCGACGCCAGTTCACATACTACATCGGGTGCAGAGTGTAAGGGACAACCACATAGGGTCGGCGTCAATAGTCCAGGATGTCTACAGCCGCTTCCCCTAACAGAACGTCCAGGGCCGCCTTCAATCATCCTGGGAAGCTACATCCCTTTCCAGGTATTTGCTACTACGGAATGATAGAGGACAAGTCCTCAAACTATTATCGTAATTTACCTACGCTCGATGGACGGGATTCAGAATTAGAGACGTTCAGTACTAATCCCCCAGATTGGCTAACCGCATCCACAGCCTCACGACCATGAACAAGTACCGTTATTCTGGACCATGCCAGGCATGGTATCCTAAGCGTTCGGAACGGCTTTTAGCCGCAACAATGTATCCACCGCCACGTTTCTAGCAGGAACCACGAAGAGGTAGCCGTCATCACAACCCCGAAAGGCTCCATTTATGCGCGTCACCTAATATAACCATTCAATTAGATAACGAGGTATTTGGCTACCTTAAGAGAGTCATAGTTACTCCCTCCCAACTTAATTATCCAACAATATTAAAATCCCATTAGAAATAAAGCCTGAGTTATCCCAATGATAGTACTAGGTACTGAATTTTGACCAGTCTTGATTGAGATATTTATGCATCCTATGAAAACGACCTTGAAATGAGAAATTTGCCACAATTCGTTGAGCACATTTGAACTTTAGCTAGTAGTAAAACCCAAAATGTGTATTGAATACCGTTTGCGACTTGTATATATATCCCACTGTTAATTTTCTTACCAAGACTCTAATCTAGCACATTCTACTTCAAACGCTCAAATGTTATCAACTAAACTACAGGGTTCAGATAACCACTAACTTGTTCGTCGGATACGATGTTTATGTCATAAGTAGCAAGAACATAAGTCATCCCATTGTTGATATTAGGGACTGTAGATATATACAAACGATGGTTGGTCGAAATTCAGTTCAGTAAGGAAGTTGTCTGTTCATAATGACGATGTTTTTACGATGGACAGAAAGTCGACAAGGGAATGGAATTAAACACGATTGTGGTATGATCATGGCACAGCTCTTGACATCAGAGCTCAACCGATGGCATACAGATGATTGCATGCAAGAAACATAGCAGAATGGCGGGCAATCAGTCCATTCACTTGAAATGAAATTAACCAGACATATGATTTTAAAATACTTGAAATGGATAGCAGCTTAGTTGAAAATAAAATGATTCTTATCAGTTACAAAAAGTCACTGCAAATTAAATTCTACAAAACAATCAATTTTTGTTTACATTGATCATGAAAAAGTGGCTCACAGCGGATTTTATAACTTCAGAAATTTCGATTCTTACTCAGTTTATTTGATATTTTGAAGTACAACTTTGATAATGACCCTAATAATGTTTAACAAACATACAGTCCCTGTCCGTTGTTAAACTTGAGTCAGCAAATTCTTATCAGTTAATAAGTTTTAAAATTATATGTTAATCAAATGTCAAATCAAGTGGTTTAACTCAACTAGGTGACAGAATGTATAATTGAATAATTAAAACGAAATCACTATTAACAACTTATTCATCATCAGTTTATGAGCAAAGTAACATTTGTATTTCATTAATTAAACTACACTTATTTCATGTTGGTTAATTATTTTTGATGAATGATAGGTATAAATGTATTTCTTTATGAACAATAAGATAGATTAATGCCAGTGGTTGTATAAAGAATTTGAACACCAAGTATATAGAGTGAGCAGGCGTTAATTGTATGCGAAATCAGTGACTGAATGTTGTACAAGGATAAGTTACGGTTTAACAATGGAATTATATTTCACCCTGGTAAATGTATCTTGTTTCAGTTGGAAATATATATCGGTACCATAAATGCAGTAAAGCTTTTATTAAAATATGTCGATCATTAAATGCGATCCTCTTCTGGTGATGAGTTATGTTCATACGATTTATATTGATAGTACTACTACTACTACTGTGGTGCACGCTACTTATAAGTAGTATATGACGCGAGTGTAAACGTATTGTCTGGCAGCAGAAGATGGGGGAAGATCAAGAAAGGAAGAGTGGGAACACGATGGAATTTGTATGAAACGCATGAATAGTGAAATGTCAGACAATGGATTGATGATGGATTGAAGGTTTGCAAATTAACCGTTTACGATAAGGTTTTCCTATTTTACTGATTAACTCTGTAATTTTCGATAAATGCAATTTGGTTGTCCTCACCTGAGTTCTCCTTCACTACACCACTACTACTACTACTAGTACTACTACTACTACTATGACTACTGCTACTACTAAAGCTCATCATCAATACATTTTTCAACATAATATACAATATTTCGAGACGGAAATATGAACAGTTGTATAATATCTATTAATAGTCAGATAGCTTAATTTTAGTGGGTTTCATTGATTTTTTTTTCGCGACGAAGATTGATAAATGAAACCATTTAAAATATTTCAGTGCTTTCGATTTATAAAAGAATATTGCGTCACTATAGTAGAATAGACAGAAGTTTGTATAGGTACTGTATATCATATTTGTAGTACTCTTTATTTGATTACTTGAAATTATGTCTAGTCTATGTTAACACTGTTTGTTAAGTACATTCATTAGCACTGTTTCTCTATTAATCACTAGCTTAATCACTTTAAATGTATAAACTCATGATTTCAGGTCTGAAACATGTAATTAAATCTGCGATGCAGCCGATTGTAATCACTTCCTAATATCAAAGCCAAATATTTAGATTTCATTCTGTCTGTGAAGGGACTATCAGGGTACTAGTGAGAAGGCATGACCAGTGGAGTTCAACCATGACTAGTGTTCAGCAGTTACCCACTGAAGACAATGGTAGATGGTCCCACAACATCGAGGATTGATTGAAGTTAGACATTAACACCACTGGATGTGGGTTCACTGGTCAAGAAATTAAAAGTTAACATGTGAGGCCGAAGTCCCTACGGACGTTGATGCACACTCATGACGAATCGCATACTAGAAAGAAACGGCCGTTCAATCCTCCTAGGTATACAGTGGTGGTCTAACAAAGATCGATTAAAGATTTCAATGAAAATCAACGATCACCACAATCCTATTGTGATAATTATCTGCGTATCTTGAATTCTGATATTTCAACTGAAGTGTCTTATATGAATCACCAATAAGTCCATTCTACTCGTTAAGAAAAATAATCTAAGGACACCCTTCATCTGAGATGCGAACGAATCTACAATAAATTGCTCCATTTAGACTCGTATCATAAGGTTATGATTTTTGTACGCCAAAAAATATTATTATTCTGCAGTTAACGTGACAACATTGTAAACATGATGCACTGATGATTGCAAAGATCTAAATATCTATTAAATTTAACGCAAATAAATGATAAGAATCGAGAGTTCAGAACTAAGAGCAAGTGAATAAAAACTCTCCAAATTTAATTCTCTAACGATGAACTTATTAAACCGTAACCGTATTTCGTTAACAATTAAAACAAAACGAAGAGAATACTTGACAAACTGACATTACATTTTCTAATTATATACTAAACAATGAAATTAAAAAACTGACAAAACTTTCTACAAAAATAAACTGATAGGCAAATCGAAATATTAAAATAACTAAACAAAAATAAACAAACAAAAACAAAATTGTCAATGCGACAATTGTTCGAAGCGATTTGAAAAATAATTTGAAATTACACAGCAGAGAAACAAGGGAAAATATTTGCAAAACTATGAAGTTGAATAGTTCAACATATCATCCAATTTCTTTGCATAGTATTCATGTCGTTTCTCCATACGTCGACCAACTAGCCAGATGCAATTAACAAAATAATGTAACTCACTGATTTTAGCAACTTCAAGCAGTTTCTTATCTAAATCATCCTTTCTCGAGTATTTGTCAATCGTTTTCAAAATTTTACCAATCCCAATCATCATCGATTTACACAGAGTTCCGAAAACTGGTTTCTAATATGGTTAATTGGTTGGTTAATTATGCATTGAGCAGTAACTCAAACTACCATTCCACGCTCTGCCTCCTCATCCTCCTCATTCTCATGTTTACCATCCTTGTCATCATGAGTTACGGTACTAGCACCAACAACACTGTAAGCAAAATATGGAGAGTAAGTATTTGGAGGAATCATTTCTCACAATAATATTCACATACTAGTACAATTCGTACAGAATAGAATGGAAAACATACATTTAAACGGAATTTCATTGCGAACTGACTATGTATTCTGATGAATCCAGCGGATAACATCATAGTAGTACTTCGATTAGACTGATCACGTTCTTGCTAAATGCTAGATGATGGTCAGTCGTCTTCATAACTAGTGAATAGTCGTAATCGGCTCGCAATAGGAAACGAAACTGAATCAACATGTACATACAGTAATATCTCACTGAACAGAAAACAGATTTATTTTTGGGTCAATGTGAACATGAAAGTTGTTGATAGTCAGAAAGAATACACTACTGGTGTCAAACTGAGCTCATGTGATGATGTATTGATGATGATATGGGATCTCAACTCATTCATGTTAACCGTTTGCCTAACATGATTTGTCATTGTCACTTAAATGATTTATCACAACAAAAGTCAGCTGAACAATAAGTAGATCCTCCACACAACGATGGAGCAAGATAAATAACACCAATACATGACATGGAAATAACTGGATGTCACACGAGATCGATCGAAGTTGTTCGACTGTCAAACGACCGTTCCATTATGATTCAGTTTGCAAGGCTACTCATCAATACAATCCACATTTTGACTTCTCTCATGAAGCTTACAACAGCAGACACAAGAAAGGAGATCCATTTCAATATTTGACAAATTAATCATTAACACCATGTGTTTCAATAAAAGTAGAAATGGAAAAGTATATTTTTTCACGTAAAACACTTAAACACCGATACAACATCACTTTCAGTTTCATGCAGATGTATTTAACATGGATGCATTGTCGTAGGGAAACTGAAGGCCAAACCACACCACTTCATAACATTATTAGTATGGATATGTACAATAGAAGAGTATATAGAACGGAACTAACTAACTGACTAACTAACTAACTAACTAACTAACAATGTGGCACTCACTTCATATGTGCTGCAGCGATGAACAGACAACATATCGAGATCAGTAAGAGAGTTGATTTCATTTTACTCTATGCAAACACCAGTGTGATACTATTGGAAATGAATGAACAGCGCGCATTAAATAGGAATTTAATGGTGACCTTTCTTGTCCTCAACTATGTTGTTGTATGTACTTTTCATTGAATGTAATTTGTGTACAAACTGTTTGATAATAAATGAGATGAAGACCTTATTAAATTTAATGAACGACAAGTTTTTAGATAATAAACAGATTGAAATTTAATATGCTTGATAGTTTAATATGAAATTGACATTTTGTGTTATTAACTTGCTACTTTTATAATGATTAAATCATTGTTGAGTAAATTGAGTTGTAATTAATTAATTCTCTATTATCAGAACACTATAGTTATGTGAATTCACCTTTAGTTATTTTGTCACATAAATGTCTTCGTTTGATTACATCTGTTCTATTTTCTTCTTACATTTAGAATGGGATGGAATGAAACACTGGGTTCGAGACGTTAAGGTTCACTATGAATCGATATTAATCAACTGTAATAACAATTGAGGTGTGCGTTTAGATCTCAGAGGATTATTTCTCTGTTTCTTTAAATTTCTCTTTCTTCGTTAGTTAGGTATGGTATTTACTTTACATGTAAATTCAGTTTTCTGTTTTACCTGTTAGAAGTCACAATTTCATTGAACTGGTTATTGAAATGCTACTGTTAAATTGCAAAGGGTTTTTAGGCATTTTGTTAGGTGGTTGAAAATCTTATCAGTATCAGATGAAATGATTTATTTTCTTATGAAAATACCTTCAGATGTGTATTACAAAACAGCTGTTCACACGTCGTAGCTGTGATGTCATTTTTTTCTCTAATAACTCTATTTTGTACAGATAGCTGTTTACTTGGTTAAAAAAAGTGTGCTCTGGTAGATTAGAGGATACTGAACTGTTGTGATAACAGTTGTTTAGTAATCTTAACAGTGTGTTACTGATCTATCTCTTCAGCTGATCATAAACATTATGACAGTTCAAAAGTAACGCATAGTTTGAATTGGGAATTAAACAGTGTCTAATTTTATGCCATTGTAATCTAATCCATTTCTAAGTAAATAGGTTACTTATTTCATATTATATGATCTCACCAAAATATCCCAGTATTAACCATTTTGTAGAGAACCTATATTTTAGGAAAAAAACCTGATTAGATTTGTTTAGAAAATATTTACCTTTAAGTTATTAAGATCACTGTTCAACGAAACAGTAGGTGTGTACTAGTTTTTATTAGGAATGAGAAAATTTAACTTAAATTCTATCACATTTGAAATCATCAGTCAATCATTGTTAGACCACCATTAGTAACCTGGAAGCACTGAAAGACGGCCGTTTCTTCCTGGTATGGGACTCATCAGAAGTGCGCATCCACGACTCCTGCACCTCGCAGGATTCGAGCTCGGGACCTTCGGTATTGTGCGCGAACGCCTAACCATCGGACCACTGGGCCGGCATCCACCTCATTCAAGCATAAGATGGTGAGGTAAAACCAGAGTAAAATATTTTTCATCTTAAATCACCATATGGTTGTTAAAATATCTTGAATAGAAATCATTCTACTACGCTTACGTAACTGATACTCTCTCAGTTCTAAGTTTGACAATAACGATTAATGATTTCAAGGGATTGATTTATGGGGATTTAAGGGAAAAGCTAGTTTTACATTTGATGATAATCAATTCACTACAAAACATTTAGAGAACGAAATGACGGACACAAATATAGTTAGATAGTTTTACATAGCAAAGATGAGTGTATGTATCACACTGTCAAATGTTAAAAACAGAAACGCAGCCAATGTCAATAGTGATTCGGTGATTCGGCCAATGAATAATTCCCAATTGGGAAGTAGTTATAGTGTTCTCCACTCATAATATGACAACAAATTCATTCTAACTGCATATTATCCTTAACAAATTCTAAACTAGATGTTTCAGTAAACGGAACTTCTAAAAACACGTATTGAAATATTAACTTGTTCATTTTGAAATCATGAATCAAGCACTGCCGTTTCGTCTTGGTAGAGCCATCCAATGCGTCCAGGTTTCTAATGGTGGTCTAACAGTGATTGGTTCTTGATTTGAAAAAAGTAACTTGACAATCATTACAACCCTATCATGCAAAGAAGTTAATCAAATCGAGCAAACATAGGTATCGACAAATGACTGCATAAATCATAACAATTACCAAATAATGAAGAAGGTCTTGCAAATTAACTTCATTTCTATTTTTGATTTAGCTAAGTTGTTGATTTTGCTGTTAAAAATAGTTATTAATTTCTGAATTCATTTCTTCCTTCATTGCTGTTTTCCATTTTATATTATGACATCATACATTCGCAGTAGATTCTGTCATAACTTGCTACCTTTATGGTCAGCATACTGTAGCCCGTTGTCGTTCTATGATAAATTAAATTACCTGTTCAATTCATTTGAACTGTTATGGTGTTTTAGCAAGTCTCACCCTTTGAACGTATAATCTTCTTTGTGGTTTATTGACCACTCACTTATACAATCGAAAAATATTTTAGCTTAGAATGACTCTTGTATATCTCACTATTTAAGGTATACGAATGATTAGTGTTATCCACGATATATGTCTCAATATAGAAGTTCCAGTGCAACTTAGCCGTCAAGTTGCACTTTTGACATCAAACTATGACTGATGATATAATTTTTGTAACATTCCTAAAGAGCAGCATACAAAAAGGTTAATTCAGATGCATACGATTTATAGGTTTCAGTTAAGATATGAAGTTAGGATATTTTACATTTTTAAGGCACTATGTAAAATGAGGTCTTCACCTCATTTATCAGCACACAGTTTGTGCACAAACGCCAATATAAAATTACATTCAATGAAAAGTACATACACACCACAGTTGAGGACAAGAAAGGTCATCATTAAATTCCTATTTAATGTGCGCTGTTCATTCATTTCCAATGGTATCACACTGGTGTTTGCATAGAGTAAAATGAAATCAACTCTCTTACTGATCTCGATATGTTGTCTGTTCATCGCTGCAGCACACATGAAGTGAGTGCAACATTGTTAGTTAGTTAGTTAGTTAGTTAGTCAGTTAGTTAATTCCGTTCTATAAACTCTTCTATTCTACATATCCATACTAATAATGTTATCAAGTGGTGTGGTTTGGCCTTCAGTTTCCCTACGACAATGCATCTATGTTAATTATAGCTGGTGGGAATTGATACTGATGTTGTTTCGATGATCAAGTGTTTGACGTAAAAAATATGCTTTTCGATTTCTACGTTTATTGAAACACATGGTGTTAATGATTAATTTGTCAAATATTGAAATGGACCTCCTTTCCTGTGTCTGCTGTTGCAAGTTTCCACACATAAGTCAGAATGTGGATTGTATTGATGAGTAGCCTTGCAAACTGAATCACAATGGAACGGTCGTTTGACAGTCGAACGACTTCAGTTGATCTCGTGTGACATCCAGTTATTTCCATGTCATGTATTGGTGTTATTTATCTTGCTCCTTCTGTTGGGATAGCCAATCGAGAAGACAGCCACGCACATTGTGGACTGATGAACTTATAGATTAAGTGATTAAGAATTCCAAGGGCAGTCGATTGATGAACTATTTGATTAATTTACAGATTTTTGAAACCACGGACCGACCAACGTTGGACCACCATTAGAAACCTGGAAGCACCGGACTGCCGTTCCGCTCTGTAATGGGACCCCTCAGCAGTGCGCACCCACGACTCCTGCAGTCTGCAGGATTCGAACCCAGGACATTCGTTATTGTGCGCGAACGCCCTAACCGTTATACCACAAAGCCGGTACCTAACAGTGTTAATGTCTAACTTGATCAAATTCACGCTCACAATACCGAAGGTCAAGGGTTCGAATCCTGCGGGCTGCGGGAGTCGTGGATGCGCATTGCTGAGGAGTCCCATACAAGGACGAAACAACCGTCCAGTGCTTCCAGGTTTCTAATGGTGGTCTAACATTGATCGATTCATGGTTTCAAAAATGTGTAACTTAACAGTCTTCACAACCGCGTAATGCATATTTGATTAATGTTCAAATATTTTAACGACAATATCGATTATATGTATAATAGTATAAATACGCATGTTTGATTGTATATTTTTGATTCTGTTAATAAGTGTTCTCCAATATCTTCCGTCTTCTTATTTTTGAACGGTGGGAGTCTAACTTTTGGTGTTGTTATTTGTACAGTGGTTTGGCGTTACTCAAGTACAGAACATAAAAGTGGCGACGGAGTGTACAACCCACAATGCCAATTACCCTTGAACAGATAGAATCTTTACTGGAACGTCAAGGAAAACGATATGAACAGTTCCAGGAACGTATGTTGGAGATGTTAATGAAACAAATGAATCTGAATCACAGAGGTTTTACCGATGATTCATATAATCCGCATGCAGACTCGATAGTTAATTCCATTCATGAATTTCATTTTGATGGCCTAGTTGTTGTGACTTTCGAGTCTTGGTTCAAGAAGTATGAGGATTTGTTCTGGATCTGGTTTTCTCCCGTCTTTATCGATAATAAAACCGAGGTAGCGTACACTCTGCATGCAAAAGTCGCATTTTTCCACCCGAAGCCGGAATCTATATTCAGCTATTCTTGATAGCACCTGGTCGAGCTTCTTTTCTAAGTCTATTCTATCAGCGCCCATAATTATTATGTCATCCCGGCAAGCTGCAACACCAGGGAGATCATGTAGCATAGTATCCATCACCTGTTGAAATATGGAGGGCGCAGTTTTGACTACAAAAGGTAACCGACTATATCGGAATAGGCCCTTATGTGTGTTTATAGTAAGCAGATCTTTACTTTCATCAGCAACAGGAATCTGTAAATAAGCTTCAGATAAATCCAGTTTTGCAAACACCTTGCCTCCATTTAGCTTAGCGAAAAGATCGTCAGATATAGGCAAGGGATACTGGTGGGGTTCTAGAACATCATTCAGTCCAGTAGAGTAATCAGCACATAGACGGACACTGCCGTTTGACTTCTTGACCACCACAATCGGTGCAGCCCATTTGGAGAAACTCACAGGTTCAATAACATGGATAAAGTTGAGATACAAATAATAATACACAACATTACACTTTATATTTTACACTAATCACCACGAGAATAGAAATTGAATACAAACACTAAATTCAGATGTAATAACTAAATATTATGTTTATTTTACGAGAAATCAGACTGACAAACAACCATGTAAAACATCTATTATTTGAATAAACTAGTTAACGAAAATTCAAATAACCGGGAATTTTTGGTATCCTTGGTTCTTTGTGGAGTCTACTTTGTTTAGTTTGAATTCAACAAATTATGCGTAAAAATGGTATTTTAACAAGTTAAAATTTACTAACTGTAAAATTAATTCAATGACTTAGTTTCAATTACCTTCAATCCATTCAATATCGAATGGAATCATGTAACGCGTTCAGATGGCTGGCTACATTTGGTGTAGGCAAGCATTAAATAACTGAAGATACTGATAAGATATTTCATCATCGCGGGTTTGTAATCAAGCTAAATTCAGTTCATGAAGTAAACTAATTTCTATCTGAACAATTTCCACAAAATTCTCATTCTAATACCAATAAAGTGTTTATCAAATAAGGTAAACAATATTCTTTGGGCCAGTTAAACATTTTAGACTTATAATAAACTGCTATAGGTTAGAGTTTTAGTAAGGAATTCTTTTCAGGGTTATTTTGTAACATCTCTATGTTGTGGATGTTAGATCCCCAAAACTCGCTTGATAATTGCCTTATCTTGGATTTCACGTTCGCGAGCATGTGCTGATCATTTGACCTTGAGATTTCATTTCCCACCAGCAAAATCCATGGCTGTGATTGGCTACTGTGTATTTTGGTGTGCTATTTTCGTAATTGTCTCAAGGACGTTTCTATGATGTATAAATAAACGAGAGTTGTATGCTTGATTGTATTGTGGTTGCTGGGTGTTTGTAGAATATACTTTCTACGCTTACAAAGTATTTTGTCTTCAGCTTGGGATTCAAGGTAGCCTACCTTGATGCTGGTAATTGTCTCGTTCGCGTTTATCGACCAAGGTGAACTCGTAATAGCCTCAAGCACACCTAGTGACGAACCTTACACTCTACAAACCTATTCGGTTTTATATAACACTTCCGGTCATTACTTCTAAAGTATTTTACTGCAACGATGATAATCTAATTATCTTCGATGAATACAGTTGTGAAAATTGTTTAAACGCATTCTATATAAATTGACCGCTCATCATTTAATACACTTTCAGTTTGTGATTCTAGTTCAATCGAATTGAAATATGATCACTTGAACAGATGATACCTTATGACAAAAGTTTAAAAACTTCCATGTAAATTTATGTGACAATTATTACTGATTGCCTTAACCGAAATCAATCAAAAATATGAATACTGTCGTTTAAAAATCATGAACAGAGTGTAAAGTAGCTACAACATTGACCAGTCAGAGTCATTAAATCTTCAGTTTGCTAGGAATAGACTTGAAATGATATAACTGTTCATAGATAATGACCTTCCGGAAAATCCCCTTTTCACTGGAGTATATAAACATTCCTTATATGTTCGAAAATAGTTTACTATTACTATAAATCCATTCATCTCTCTCGGTTCACTTTTACTCTTAAAAGTTAATATGCTAACTAACTAATTTGTTTTTATCGATTATACTGTCTCCCATACTTTTTAATGATTTTTACACATTTGAACTGATCAATCAATCATTGTAAGAAACCTGGAAGCACTGGACGGCCGTTTCGTCCTGGTATGGGACTCATCAACAGTGCGCATCCACGACTCCTGCACCTCACAGGACCTTCGGCATTTTACGCGAACGCCTAACCATCGGACCACTGAGCCGGCATCCAACGGTGTTAATGTCTAACTCTGATTGATCAACGGATTTTGCGCGACCTCACCCATTTGTCTTTGGTAGTTACTGCCTACACCCGACAGGGTTGATTACACTCTGTTCGACCTGTGATTATACTTGGTTATCAACTAAAGGCGCATTAACAAATAAATACACAATCGAATTACTCTCCGTCTATTTTGTAAGTACATAACACTTTTCACCATTAACTTTATCTGTTTATTATACTTTTGAAGTAAACAAAAAAAATTGATTTAGTCTTTTAATATAACAAATAATATATTGATCCCTTGAACTGTGCTTCCAAACAGAAATCATCTAAGAATCATTCAAGTCATTCCAATCTATCTTTTAATGTAAATGTTTTTTATACTGTGAATATAATATACATTAATGATAACTAATACAAAGATATATGTTGATTATTGTTTTTGTATCGATCAGTTAAAAAAAGAACAATGCTTTCTGAAAGATTTTTATTCCTCTTTAGAGTTTAAACATTTTTCTAAGCGTCTATTCAAACGTTTAATTACTAAAATTAAAAATTAGTATGAATTATCAATTGAACTTACAAATAGTTAAAACTTGAGCTATTTTTTCACCTAAATCATCTTGTTTGAAGTATTCTTGTACGTGATTGCGAAATGTTCTCATATGTTGTAAAGTTAATAGTTTGAGTTTCTCAACAGTTTCTAGCGCCATTCTTCGCTGTAAAGGTGTTTCGAGTAAATAAATTGATTCACTTACTAGTAGAACTTCATCAGCTTTATACCTTGCTCTGAATACATTATAAATAATAAGATTAATAATAAGATTCTTGTGAGATAATTTTAACGAGATTTTATGGGAATTTTTTTTAGAAAGTGAATAGATATTTAAGAAAATTACTGACTTTGAAGTTTGCTTATCATTTGAAAATGAGATGGATACAAAAGTTATGCCTATTTTTGTGAATTGGAAAGAATTAACAAAATAAACATAACGGTCTAGAGTTTAAAAAACATATAGAAGCTGATTATTCTGGGTTTAATCTCCAGTTTGACCTGGTTTGTGGCTAATTACTAACAAGAAGAAACTACTGATGTCTCAATGACAGTACTTTTAACATAAAATTTAAATCTTTTAAATATTTCCTCCTGTCTAAACATGTTCTGTGTAGAAGTTTCAGTTAGACTTTTATGATCATCATTACAAGTTTAGAAAAAACGTTTGTAATCTTACTTAAATCAATCATTCCCCAATCATAGATAGATACAAATCCAAAGATGATCTCAACAGAATAACAACAACACTAATAATAATAATAATAATAATAATAATAATGACAGTAATAATGACCAATTATCGATACTATGATTAAAGTCAGTGTGAACAAACTTAAAGTTTGAATGGTTGATTCTCGTTGTCAATGATTATTCTCATTCTCCTTATTCAGTTGGTGTTAAATTTGTAATCAGGCGAAATAGAATTTATAAGCCAACATTTGAATACATGAATAATCTTTAGCATCAACCAACTGGTTAACCCCACATATCAGAACAGATTATTATTATTGTTATTAGTGATATAAATTATTAAATATATCAAAATACTTTGTTACTTACAATCTGTAACACTTGTAAAAGACTATTCTACACTCGAACAATATTTAAACCTAATTTATTACTCAGCACAGTTAAAATTAGATTTTAAAGTAACAGTTAGGCACAAATCGTCAATGACATTTTTCAGACGTTAAGGATTAATTGGAAAATGAAAATTCTGTATAATCTTCATAAGTATTTAGCCAAACAATTTTCTCATGTTTAATCACAGACCATCAATATCACTCTGTTTAATTTAAATTTGGCTGTATGTTTGACGACCTGCACGTCAGCGAGTGTTTGTTTCCTGGATTTTACCACGTCATAGTACTTCTTCATTAATAATACTCATATGAGTCGTGAAAAGAGTTCGAAATATATTGATAAAAGCGCCTATTAACCACTATCTTCATATATATCTCCATTATTTGTAAATTAATAGCTATTTATTAACAGCTTTGAACGAATCATCAGTATACTACTAGAAATATATGACTAGTGCACCTCAGTCATATCGAGTATGAAGTAGAGATCACTGTTGACGTTGTCTGAAGAATAGGTTAAAAGTGTAAGTTGACCACAATCGAGAATGTAGGCATTAAGTTCAAGCTCACCAGATTGAAGATGCGATCTCGCTTGTTTGACCTATAGGTCCTGAACTTGATCTTGTCTCTGTATGACCAGTCCTATTGGAGGACTACACAAAGTTTCAGCAAGTTCCATAACTTTCAATGCTGTATTAACAAAATCAACTTCTTTTTACACAATTGAAATCATCAGTCAATCATTGTTAGACCACCATTGGAAACTTGGAAGCACTGGACGGCCGTTTCGTCCTGGTGTATGACTCATCAGCAGTGCGCATTCAGTAGGGCTTCCACGTTACTAATAGTTTTCTAACAATGATTGATTGATTGATGATTTCAAATGTATAAAAACACTAATCTCCATAACTCTAATTGGAAACTAACTTCACCAAAAATAATAATCTCTTAACAAAGGAATTTATCAATACCACATATCGCACATACTATGTATGAAATCGGTCGTCTTCAACTTCAAATGCATATCCATATTCTCCTGTTTAATCTGTATGAACCAGACGAATAACAATAATACAGAAGTAAACAGAATTAAAATAGTTTTTTTTTCAATTTCTAAAAAGTGTAGCTTGTTAGTCTATTTTAGTTTTATAACAAAAGTTGTGATATAGTAAAAACTTTAACAGACATGATCAACATAAAAACTAATGTTAGTAACATTTACTCTACTGGTATAAATTACATTTTTATATTGTATTTAAATACATGAAACTTACTCAACAGAAACTAATGTTATTATAAAGGTTAATAAACTGAGAGCTAGAATAAATTTCATTGTATTAAGTAATCTGACGAATAATTAATTAATATCTAAAATACGCTTGTCATATCTAAGCTTTTATATATCAATTTCGACTAAATAAAATACAATAATAATACAATTGCAGACAGACAGATAAACAGACAGAAGGCATCCGTCAGTAGGGAACTACGTACGAAGATAGGATGTACTATTAGCCATCAGTAAACAATCTGTCCTATGATCTGTACGCTAACTATTCACGATAAAAACCTGTGAATCAACTGATAGCACTGAATGTTTATATTTTTGATTACTTTAGTTTGATTTTTTTTTTTTTTACAAAACATCCAAGTCGTTTAAATCAATATGTTTATATTCATCTTCTACCCTTGATTCATTCATTGAATAAATATTATTTCTCTGCATAGTTGTTCATTGATCAATAATATAATTAAATTAGATTTTCAATAAATCGTGTTTTATTTTATAGCATTCAGCAAAATAATACGGTTAGTTTAACATAATAAGAGTTGTGTACGAACCAAATTTAAGTTTCACAATTATAAATATTATTGTGTATTATTAATCTGTTGATATTCAAATTAGTGTGTCAGTTTCAAAATATGTCCTGAAATTATAAAATTATAATTTACCTAATTCACACAACTTCCTGTGACGTATTTGTGAATAAAACAAAGGAAACATTTATTTATAGTGTAATACTGTTAAGTTCGTCACTAAGTACGCTTGAAGTTCACCTTAGTCGATAAACGCGAACGAGACAATTACCAGCATCCAAGTAGGCTACCTTGATCTCAAAACTGCAAAAGAGAAATCTTGGTATAGCGTAGAAAGTATATTCAACAAACACCCAGCAAGCACAATACAATCAAGCATACAACTCTCGTTTATTTATATATCATAGAAACGTCCTAGTGGGACAGTTACGAAAATAGCACACCAAAATACACAGTAGCCAATCACAGCCATGGATTTTGCTGGTGGGAAATGAAATCTCAAGGTCGACTGATCAGCCCATGCTCGTAAACGTGAAATCCAAAATGAGGCATTTATCAAGAGAGTTCTGGGGATCTAACATCTCCAGCAAATACATGGAGATACATCGATGATTTCAGTATGAAAAAAATTTTTTCATTTATATTAATGCATGATTAAATGACGAGTGCATTTTTTGAGAAGGAGCAAGAGTATACTTTTATGGGAGAGAGGTGCCTTTTATGATTTACAATGGACAATTTGTTTTAATGTAATATGTTATTGACAGATAATAAATAGAACATTTTAAATCGGTAACTTTCTTGAAAGAAGTCTGGAAGATATTGTACGTTTTGGTTTCGTTTTGTATCGTTAATAGTCAGTTGAAATGTTAAACATGAAATCTCTGTTTGAGGTTTTAATAATTTTAGTGAATCTCAGACCAGTTTGTATAAGAAAATATCCTGTGTTTTCATAGTTATAGCATGTTTTGTAGGTGAAATAAGGTTTTAAAACTGTTAAATTGACTGATTTTTAAACAGACAGTTGAATAATTATCAGTAAATATTTATCAACTAAATTATTTTGTTTTATGTATATATATTCATGATTGGCGTTTGAAGTGATAGATACAAGATTATAGTCCTACTTAAAAACAATCATATAGATCTTGGCATATCTGAATGATAAATCTCAAACGACATGAAACATGCCTCTTGCATTGCATATTTAGGTGATATTTAAAATATCGTCAAGAAGTACTATTCGACACTACGAAGAATTCATTCAGTTGTATTAATGAACACTTACTATTATTCTAGATGGTAGATTACACTCTCTTTAGTTTTTTTAATCATCAGATAAAGGTAGATGAATAAAAATATAATTTCCACAAAGTAATCACTTTATTCATAAAACAATCAAAGTTCACAATCTTTCAGCGCTCAAGTTTTTGTAAGAAACATCGCAATAAATATATTCGAAATTAGGTATTTTTTTTCATTGGTATGAACTGTTTTAAATGATGTGGACTACAAAAGAGACACGAAATTCACTGATGCATGACACAAAATAAACTTGGACAATGTCTTTTTGAGTAATAGAACGAATTATAATCAAGATGTGGTTTTATTTGCCTACATTATAAGATATTAGCAATTATATCTTGACAGATATGACCTCTAGGTTCATGATAAGCAATTACAGCCTATCTTCCTAGTTTGGTCATCAGCACAGATAGACTACGATCAGATACAAATGACCCATTAGTCCTGTTTACATTGAATAATCTTTTGTTCAGTTGTACTCGTCCTCTTCATATTTCTCAAAAACCAATTGATGATTCTATTTGTCGCTTTGTTTTCACATAAATTTTGTTAAGAATTAGTCTATTCACAAAATAGTCACGTGACTAATGGAATTTGTCAATTTGATAACTATTGATGAGAATTCACTCACACTAACTAACAATTTCAAGATATGAGATGATTATTCTTTTTTTATGCAGTTAGTTAGCTTCTTTGATGAATTCAGAACAAAATCAGCAAATCAACAATTCCATAAAAACAGAATTGTATAATTCTTATACTGAAGTTTTTTTTCCAGCTGTTTGCAAACGGTATTTTGCATAGCTTATGATTAATTAGTAAAAAATTGACGATTGAAAAATTCAAATATCAAAAGCACCATAAATGAATGAAAAGATTATTTTAAACGAAATGAAATAACATTTAGCTGCACAAGGAGTGTATGACAAGATAATAAAATGTTTAACAATAATATTAATGATTATTATTATTGTGAGACAAGATTTGAATCAGTATCATGGACTTAGCATGGTAGTGATCAAATGACAGCCAACACTTTTTGAACACATAAATTCAGTTTGTTTTTGAATAACAACTGTTCCAGTGAAACGTAAATAATGTGTTACGTTTTGATAATCTTAAATAATTGATAAACGTCGATGATATGGCCAATGTTTATTAAGTATCTAAATATTGCCCTATCACTCATTCATCTTTACTTTCAGAAATACTTAATGAGTTTTTAATATATACCACATCATTACCTAATTTGTACGGAATATTTCGATTGTGTAGGACCAAGGTAAAAGACTGGTCAGATGGAAAAAGATTTCCTCTCCATTCATCCTTTTCTAACTGTCTAAGTGGAATTTTCCGTTTGTGTCCGTAAATTTATCAAACCAAGAAAAAAACGTAGCTTCTAAAGGGAATGGATACTGGTCGAAGTAAAAACTAATATATATATATATATATATATATATATATATATATATATATATATATATATATATATATGCCACAGCATGTCCTCAAAATGTTTGAAAAGAATCACACTACTTAATAATAATAAGTAGTAATGTTATATGATAAACAAGAATATTAGAACAACACATATCAGCGAACAGTATCGTTTTCGATTAGATCGTCATCAGGCTTTACTCTAATATACATGAATATTTATATGAAAATGTTAAACCAATCAATGCAATTTGAGTGATAATCACAATGAAATGAAAAAGATTACGTAACTACATATAATAGGCAAAAGTTCAAGTGGATAGTAGGAAGACAGGTGTACTGATAGTAGTAAGAAAATTATAAAATATGATAACTAAATTTTTTGTCAATAGTAGGTCAAAGGTGGATGAATAGACTTAAAAAAAACATTAAAAACATCAAAGCCATTACGTAATAAGCAAATATGTAAAAATAAAATTAAAATAAAATAAGATAAAAAAACAAGAAAATGAAGGACAAAATCTCCCATAAACTTGACACACTAGAAGTAAAAATGGAAGCACATATGCATCGTCTATTTTAAAATGATCTACATCGAAGAGCAATCAGTTTAATTATCATGCGGGCATTAGAATATGGACCATACAAGTTATGATTCGTTTCACTAATTTGACGCAACTTTTGTATTAGTAGACGTAATAAACTGCTAATGGACAGCATTATTCATAGTTAGAGAAGCACTATTTGTCAAATATATATTTGGTTTTGATTAATTAACTGATAAAACTTTACCAAATCCACAAAACCTTATATGATAATGTTTTGTGAAGGGTTAAAAGTTTGTATCATTTATTTCTTGATATCACAGTTATCCATTTGAAGTAGACGATGAAATCGTTCCTAACTACAGTAACCAAAGCTCACCATTTGAGCCTGTCAGCTGGGATGGCCTAGGATAACCACGAACAACATTATTCTAGAACAGACAAACTACTTCGCTGATATTTCAATGAATTTATTTAATCGTATGATAATAAACGGATTCAAAACAGTGTCATAATTTGAACAGAACTTAAAATATATTTTGAGTTTCTATCATATATTACACATTGACATTGTAAATTTCTGCAAGATCTCAAATCTTTGTTCTTCCTCTCTCTCTTCAAGATGATAAAGGGAACTGTGTGAGTGAAATTGATAACTAACTGTTACACTTCATTCTTAACAATCACATCAGTAAAGGATATTGCAATTGTACACTAATACGATCATTCTTATACGAATATCTAACTTTTTATTTGTATATCGTTTGATATTTGAAATCATAAAGTTCACGAAAAATGTATCAGATACGATAGACGTCAGTACTTAAAAATGGTCACAATTAAGAGAACTTTGCTATATTTACACTTATACCGAAATATTTTCTATGATTTTATGACGATAAATTATTTTAGTCATTTATTTATTTAAGCATATAAAACTTTGTAGCAAGAAGCACTTAGATATTTATGCGCCGCACAAATCATTGATTTCGTGTGTGGGCTAGGATATTGAACGTTGGATTTTCTTTGGACGCTAATCCACAAAATCAAATGAGCAACGTTAAGAGAATCGACCACATAGTACCTGGTGACCAACAATATATTCGCAAGCCACTTATCCCCTCAGGATCTTAGAGCCCATATGCACTATTGGTTTGGAACCAGAGTTTTCCAACTCCTCTAGATAGATCCTTTGTACCTACCAACCCGGTTAAACCGCCGGACATTAGTTTTTCATTCTCTCAATTTAGTAAACCACATCCGCGCTACGAGAAAGCAGTGAGTAGGACATTCCTGGCAATGGTTATGTACGCGTGGTCATATGAGAGCATCTCGAGAAAGAGTGGATTCTCTACACCCTTGGCAATTACAAGCCAAATCGGGGGCGTGAAAATAATAATCGTGCTTCTCATTGCAAAAATTCGTTCTATTATGTGAATGCATAATCACTACTAAGCTGAATAAGCTTACATCTAACTACGAGAACTACTTCGTAATAATATTTGTCTCAACAAATGTGATACAAAAGTACTAACCTATGAATAATACCGAATAATATATGAATACACTTATTAGAGAATCATTCCACAAGTTTGAACTCAACTTTGTTGCTCGTAATCTATCAGAGACAAGTTGTATATGCATGATAGTCCATCTTGTACAGAACCTGACATCCTAAAAATTGACTAGATAAACAAATGCAATAAGATAATATTGATTTTCAACGCTTTTATACAAATTACATTTTAACAGTTTTTGAATTGTCAGTGTACACACACATTTAATGTTTTAATAAGTATGTAAGAACATTCTCACAAAATCAAACAATTTCACTCTTTAACATGATGATAACTTTCTCTTCAGAATCAACATATATTTATGTATTAGTTTTCAGGTAAGAAATAGACACACTTAACAAGTTAAAAATGAATAGGCAAGAAAGAACTTCATGCAGATTTTTTATGTGTATAGAAGTGGTGTAATACCAGAGTTTGAAACAAAACTAAAATATTTCCATAGCGGTGAACATAATGATTCATTTATTTGCCTTTATTGTCTTTTGATTTGTTATCAGATGATTCAGAATCTGATTTCTTTTCGGATTCTTTATCAGTTTCCATTATAACATCCATAGGTTCAGAGGATGAAGATGGTGATGACTGTTTAGTAGTAGGATATACAGGGGAGTCTGTACTTGTAGAAGAGGGTGACTTGCTGCCAGTACTACTGCTCCCAGAACTGCTAGATGTTGTTGAGACTGTTGTAGTTGGTGTTGTTGTTGTCGTTGTAGTTTGTGATGTTGTGCCTTCTTCTATGTATAAAAACGGTTCTGGTGGATTCGGTTCAGAACCTAATACTTGTGATTTGCCACTACGACGGCTTGAAGCGGATCCACGACTTTTATCACGTTTTACCTCTGTACTTGCTTCACTCATCTCGACATCTACTTTGGAAGTTTGATCATCAACCTCTTCTAATTCAACAGTTGAAACAGTGGCCGCAGCTACATCAAACTCTTCTTCATCATCTTCGTCTTCTTCATGCATATCACTGGAAGAATCTTCATCGTCATCCTCATCCTCTTCATCATCTTCATCATCATCTTCGTCAAGATAAGCTCCAATGGTTGATGCATGGATAAGCTCTGTTTTAGAGTTAGATCCAGAGCCTAATGCAGCAGCAAGATCAGAGCTGCCTGCGCCTCCAGCTGATCCAGCTCCCCCATTGGCTCCTGATCGTTCCAAGGTAGGACCATGTCCAAGTACATTTTCAACTAAAACTTCTGCATCCTGAGGACTTTTATCTTGCACCATTAGTATTCCGCCCTATAAAAATATGATTTAAAAAATGAATTTTAAAGGAAATTCAACGAATATAAAAACGTCTTCAAAATAAATTATTTTTCTACATTACAATACAGGAAAAGACAGAGAAACGAGGCATGTATAATCTAATCACATTTAAAACACATTATAGTGTTCAGTTTTATGGTGGCCAAAGTAAAGATTGCTTATGGATATACAGGTTCAGTTTGTTGTAGTGGTTATCGGTAGATTGAGCTATATACATAAAGAGATACATAAGCTAATAAAGCGTCATTGGTGGGAAATGATAGATAATTTCAGACGCACTGTTTAGCCTGACCTGATGTTTCATATCAATTAGATGAGCTAGTACAGAACTTTTGACTGATCTTAGCTATCCAATACCTAACCAAACAGGATGCTGTTCGGAAATTCGGTGATGGACTTGGGGAATTGTGCGCCCTATTGAAATGACTCCACGAGATTAGTAGCATTGACAAACACACAAAAATGAGTTGAATTCGGAAAATGAATGCATAGTTACGAATCTAATAATCGTTTAGTGGTAGAACAGAGCGTATAGGTCAAGGTGACGTAAATGCTTTCTTTCAGAGCTTTTCTCAAACGATTTGCAACATCATTATTAATTATACACCCCTTACTTAATCAGTATCGATTCTTATATTATTGTTTATATGTATGCAGTCTACAACCATGATAAAAAGTTACTTTTTACACATTTGAAATCATCAATCAATCATTGTTAGACCACCATTAGAAACCTGGAAGCACTGAAAGACGGTCGTTTCGTCCTGGTATGGGACTCATCAGCAGTGCGCATCCACGACTCCTGCACCTCGCAGGATTCGAACCATCAGAGTTAGACATTAACACCGTCGGATGCCGGCCCAGTGGTCCGATGGTTAGGCGTCCGCGCACAATACTGAAGGTCCTGGGTTCGAATCCTGCGAGGTGCAGGAGTCGTGGATGCGCGCTGCTGATGAGCCCCATACCAGGACGAAATGGTCTTCCAGTGCTTCCAGGTTTATAATGGGGGTCTAACGGGTCTAACAATGATTGATTGATGATTTTAAATGTCTATAAACACTAATCTCCATGACTCTAATTGAAAAAAGTTAAATGAAAAGAAATATTTCACTTCTTTTTTTGTTTGCTATAAGTAATCTAATGTTACGATGACTCAAAAGATAAGTTTGACAATAAAATTATAATCTAAAAGAGGTAGCATGTATTTTAATCTAATAAAATAAATGTTATAGATGAATTTTATAAAACTACTTTTTTTCTATTAACCTGAGAATCAATAGTTTCATCATATACAATTTACAGATTAGGCAGTATAGAAGATATTACATCCTTCCGATGAAAAGAATATCTTAATGAGCTGTCTGATAAACTGCTAAACTTTAATAGACAGAACTACAAACTATAATACTAATAACTAATGCTTTGTTCATTGAACAGGAATAAAGTTTAAATGAAGAAAACATAAATGTATGACTTTTAATTAGATAGAAAGAAATTGCATTTCGTGAAAAGTAAACTTGTAACAAAAATGTAGTAGATACCTGACTGATTGGTTTTAAAGTTACGTAACGAGATGCTTCAGGAAGAGTTACATATCTTTGTTGTGCACGCATTACTCTAGCTGGATTATTCAGTAAACTGAAATTCGGTTCCTAAATAATAATAATAATAATAACACAAATGAATGTACAAGAATAAAACGAAACAATTCTATACAGAATTGTGAAGACCAGCATAATTAAATAATGAATCTTCAATCGACTATTTCATATGATGAAATACATGTTTTGAATTAGTAAAAACCGTTTTGGAGTAATTAATCATAAGTAAGTTAATGTAGGAACAAATAAACCATTAGATGTTATAGACTTGAAAAACCTAACTCTATTTATTCATTGCTCATAAGTTAACTAGAATTGGATATATAAACCTATAAATCGAAAGAATTCGGAAAGTTTATTTAGGCTGTTGACCATTTGATTAACCTGTAGTGTAATGTAGTTGTTCATCTGCCAACGAAGAGAATACGCTGTGTAGCAATATGTATAACTGTTTGGAAACACCCAGAGAGTCAAGTTGACGTGAAAAGCCGAGTACTAAACAAAGATGAGGAATCGGTTGATGACATTGAATCTTTATTTGATGAGGAAGATGTATTACGCATTCTTAACCAACATTACCTCGGCACATAATGTCGGAAGAAGGCTAGGGATAGAAAAACTAAAAATGTGGCATCAGTTAATGAAGTTAATGGATGTTGGACTGAACCATAAAAGTAGATGCAACCTACCAGGTTAGGATTCGCATAATTATCGTAACTAATAGTTGGAGATATCGAAAGACAGAAAGCGCAGATCATCCACTCTGTCTTAACACTCATATACTTTATATCCTAGAAATTCATTTTTCTTAAATCCTACTGTCTATCCCTAATATTATCAACTACTGCTTATACCGTTGGCAAATTTATTACTATCGCATTCGTTTTATTAATTTTATCTTTATAAGTAAGCAATGCTGGGGTTAGTAACAGGGTACTAGGTAAGGATGGAAGATCAGAGTTAATGAAGTAGTAGTAGAGGTGGTTGGAACATGCGTTACGTATGCCCAAACACCGACTGCTTTTGACGAGCGTTGTTTTGTGATGTACGAGTAGGCTGAAAGAAAGCTAGGGTTAGCCAAATTAAAACATGGCACATATCCATGAAGTCACTGACAACTGGACTGAGCCATGTTAGTACGTGTAGACTACCTGCTTGGCGTCCGCGAGACAATAGTAACCGATGGTTAGGAACTTTGAATGATATGGCTCAAAATCGTTTGCAATGGCGCACGTGCATCCATTCTCTGTCTTCTCTCATCACTTCATGAGCTCATGACCTTTTGTCTCTTTTTAAATTTATTTCACTGGATTATACTTCGTGAGTAATTTCTTCCAACCATAATGTTTCCCATTATCGCTAATAGTTCTACTATCTCTATTACTATGGAATTTCAATTGACAATTCAATCTGTGTTAATGTGGCATGGCAACTTGAACTGATGCACGTACGTACGAAGCTCTACGTTGTAGCTGACCGATAGACTGACTCTTAATAAGTCTATGTTGTAGCAACTTGAATATATATATGCAAAGTTCTATGTTGAATATCACTAAAAAAATTAATTTTCCTTAGCAAACTGTTTCTTCTAAATATGACACTAATCAATAACCATGTTTTACTCACTTTCTCTTCTTTGGTTTCAGTCGATGGTGTTGAAGGTTGTTCTTCTTTGGCAGTTTCTGGTGGAGTATCTCTGTAATGAAACAGAACAGTGGAATTAATAATAAATGTTAAAATCACAAATGAACTAACTAATAAAAGGTTTTAAAAAAAACTAACCTAAGTATCTGTGTAAATGAATGAGCTTAAAATCAATATTAATGATAAGTAAGTAACCTAATGCATAACATATATCATTCCTTAAATAAATATACTCCCATAGAATAAACGGAAGTATATTTACAATGAGGTTCAATACAACAACTTGTATTATGAAAAACAGATAAAAACATCAAGAATTCGATTGCTTCAATTGTATTTCATATTTGGGTGGTCGTCTCTAGAGTTTTACGTAGTTTGAAAATCGGTATTCCACTTGACGTCAGTCGGTGACGAGACCTACCTTCAAATACTATACTCTACATTAATTTCGATTAATTTTCTATAATAAACTGAGATTCAACTGCCCGAGCGAAACAACAAAACAACTCCACATTCATCGATGTAATTTAGTTTTGTTATAGTAACTTGTTATCGTATGAAAAAATAAGTAACTAAGGTAGGATAGAAAAAGAGAGCCTACAACAAGATAAAATAAGTTGAAAACATCATCAAAACATTGATGCAATAATCCTTACACATCCATTTTAATTTCTTTGTTTTGAGTATCTTTGCGAGCTGATGCTCCACCGGTGGTTGTCGACTGTTGTTGTTGTTGTTCTTTGTGTTGTTTCCGATCAGCCTCTTTTTTACGTTGTTTAGCTGTTATACTTAAAATAGCTGTCTCTACTTTTTCACGTTTCTTTTCTTTTTCTTGTTCTAAAAATTAGAAAAGAAATTTTAAATTGGAATAATTGCACAAACAGTTAGTAAATCAATGTGGTAAAATGAACTATCGCTTTTTAGAACGCGAGACCATTGGGTTTTCGGTTCGACTCCCGGTTCCAGAGTCATGGATGCGCATCAATGAAGCGATCACTAGTGACTCATGTGAATTCATACTATAAGCAAAACTGAATTTCAGCTTCCAGATATTTATGAATACTTGTCAGAATCCGAACTACTTTACATTTGATGTCAGTCAATCAGTCAGTCAGTTACAACGTAGAACTTCGTACGTACGTACATCAGTTCAAGTTGTCATACCACACATTTGGTGAGCTATGTACAACAACAGATATACAACAGAATAACATGAAATCAGTATGAATATTATCATTAGTCTATTTAAGCAGTGAACTGGATTCTATGGGCAAGCGAAAACCATTTAGCCAATCTCTAGTTATCCAATAACTGATACATCTGTCACATTCTTATTCATAGTTTATATTTTAAAAACAACTCAGATGTATAGTTATACACTAAGATTGGAGCTATATATCTTTTGTACGAAATTTACAGATACAAATCCAAGAGGGTTTCAGACCCACTGGTTGAAAGCTGGATGTATTAGCACTGAGGATAAAAAAATGTTTATAATGTGTATATTTGCTGAAACTATTCACAATTATCATTTTTACACATATCTTTGTTGGTTTCATTATTAAAAGAAATTCATGTTAGACCACCAGTGAAAACCAGAAAGCACTGAACAGGTGTTTCATTTTATTATCAAGGACTAAGTCCAGGACTTTCAATCCTGCATGCGAATGTTTAGCTGCCAAACTAGTGAGTCAGAATCCAATGGTGTGTGCATGTAACTTTATAAAATCAATATGCTACAAATTTATTTGTTTAGAATGACTAACTAGTATCTAGAGGACCATCACAAAATCTATACAACTTTTAAATACTAACTAAGACTGCCCTATCTAGTTATCTAAATGACTACAAAATTTAGTCAAAAGCTTAACCCTGAAACACTTATGGTATATCTGCTTTACCAGAATCCTCCTTCGAAATCACTTGTACAGTCAGAAGAATTGATCCAAAAAGAATACAAATGAAAAATCTGCGTACAAAAGCGGCCATGACTATTCACAAATTTAATCCTAACCTTTATGTACAGAAACAATGCATTCAAGCCCTATGATCTTCTAGTATCTTTTTTTCTGCTACCTAATAACTAGCCATTATTACAATATTTATCAAATGAATAATTATCTTCATCTTAGCACCTTTCATTAGCAACTCGATTATTGTATAACTTTCTTTTAGTACCTGATTTCTGTAACCAATTTATGGCATGATAGCACTGCAATTATTTTTCTAATAGGGGACTATTTTTAGCAACTTAGTAACTTAATTAAACATATAATTCTACAGCTTAACTAGATAAATTAGTCAAAAAGAACATTTTCTTCAGTCAGTCAGTCATTTGCAACGTAGAACTTCGTACGTATGTACATAAGTTCATGTCCCCATACCACATTAGCACAGCGACGCAAATGTCAAATCAAATCCCATAGTGATAAAGATAGTAGAGGTATTAATGGTAATGAAGAAGACTAGGGTTTGAAGATATTATTCAAAAAGTATAATTCAGTGAGATAAGGTTAGAAAGACAAAGGTAGAGGTGCTGACGAATTCAGAAGATTAGGATTTGAAAGAGCACAACGGATGGATGCACTTGATAGTTTATACATATAAAATTGAACATAATTTCAAGAAATTAAAAATTTCACTTACGCAATGGTTGAGGATAAGCAAAAGTCGATGGTTTAGCATTAGAACGAAATTGCATTTTTGGCATATTCAAATCTTTATTCAATGCTATCAATGCAGTTGGTGTAAATGCTAAACTAATAAAATTGGTTAATGGATGCCAAAACCAGAAATTTTGAAAGATTAACAGACCAACAGCTGCTGCCATATTAGCATTACCTGTATGATATATATACAATGAATAAGGGAATAAAAAGAAATCTGTGAAAAGTTCACACCAAAAAAAGAGGAACTATACACCACTACTATACAACATGAAATTAAAATATTCAACACTTATCAATCTGATAATTTAAGTTGATCTAAAGTGATATTGTTTTGTTCAGGTTTTGAAATAACTTCTAATCATCAAATTTAGTAAGGATTTATGCTGTATGCTTCCACTGCATCCTCAGTCTAGATAGTATACGACACTTTCTATCTGTCGACATTATCTGTTCCATTTAATGCTTATAGATTTTAAATTTTCTTTCATCGTATTGAAGTTTGGCAGCTTAGACCGATGAACTTTATTTAGGTTAGATGCCATATGATTTCCGGCTGAGTGAGGTAGAAGTTTCGAAGCAATTACTCTTAATAAAAAAGAACACAGTATCTCAGCCTGCTTACAAATTCAATAATTTATGTGGTGCATAAATTATTTAGGTGCCTCTTTTTACTAATAAGTATGTGTTTAAATAAATAAATGCAATAAAAACGTAAAAAAAATGATTAATTACAGTGCTAAATGGAAGCTGAACGTACCTGTACGTGTTTGCAATGAAATAGTCATATTACATCCACCAGCATCTAAAATACCACATGCTATGATAGCACCGAATTTCGCTAATAAGTCTTCATGACGATCACCGATAATTTTTAACAATTTCTGACGGAAATCCACAGACTAAAAGAAAGAAAGAAAATTTATAATAATTCATTTCAATACAAAATCTTATTCATTTCTCATATTATGTCGAATGTATTGTACAGAGCCATAATTACATATAAAATTATCTAGACTGAGCTAATTGTTTATCTACTTCCTTATTGTTTAAGAAACCAGACAGTGAGTCAGTTACAACGTAGAACTTCGTACGTAAGTACATCAGTTCAGGTTGCCACACCGCATTAGCACAGAGACGAAAGTGTCAGTTCAAATCCAATAATGGGAGCGATAGTAGAAGTATTAGCAGTAATGGAAAAGATTAGGGTATAATTCAGTGCGATAAAGTTAGAAACAGAAACATAGAGATGATCAGGAATTCCGAAGGTTAGAATTTGAGAGAACACAAAGAGTGGATGCACCTAATGCAGTGCAAACGATTTTCAGCTATGTCGTTCAATGTCTCTAACCATTGGTGGCATACGTCTCGCGGACCCCAACCAGGTAGCCTACATCTACCAACATGACTCAGTCCAATCGACCTGCCTGGCATGGTAGAACCTTCAGGAACATATGTTCCAGCCAATACAGCTCGGTTAGGTCATCACGATAGGCAAGCCCGACCACCACGTCAAGGTAGCAGCTACGGTCGGGTTAAGAAACCACAGTCAGAAATGAGGTTCCACACAGCTCAAATAACAACAAGAACTTCACAAAAGGTTATTTGTCTAAATCATAGCCACTCAACAATATAATACAGAATTTATAATGATCAAAATCAAAAAAGAAAGCAATTCATTGACTTTTAAATGTGTATAAATATAGATTTGGTATGTAAAACTAATTTGTCACAAAAGTTCTAAAACAGTGGAGACATTATTTAACTCTGATCTTGTAGGTTACCGCTAAGCTACTGGTCTGCACTGTGGTCTTGTTATTTGGTTAGATTTTTATATGAAAGCTTTCACTAAAAAAAATCTGTCAACAAGAAAACGCATTTTAGTTGTAAGTCTGAAATTCTTTAGAGTCTACGGTATAAAAGCCGATAGAATTCCATGGATATGTTACTGTAAAGCGCACTGATCTTGAAGTGCAGTGAGAATTCCATTGATTAAGAATAGTCTTCTTATTATCCCAACTGCAAAGAAATATCCGTGACTGATAAAACTATTTGAGAAGTGTCAGAGTTAACAATAAATGAGTTTATAAATAGAAGGACCATGGAATTACCATCTTTTTAACTCATACCTTAGGGGAAGTAACCGCATTTTGTTGAATCAATACCATTGCATTAGCAATTAAGGCACCTTGACGAACAAATGGAACTGTTCCTTCGTGTAAAGTTTCCAATAAACTAACAGCTTCTTTAAGCGCTGTTCCTGCGCAGGCTATTCCTACAGCCATAGCAGCACCGTAGCGCAAATGAGGATGATAGGATTCAACAAGCAAGGATACTAGTGATGGGACCTGCTCTGGATTCCTAAAAGGTAACAAAAAATTTATGATAGAAATGATTAGCACAACGACTTACTGAAAAATATGCTTCACAAAATGACATTAGTCAGAATCATGATGAGACAAAAGAAGTTAAACTAACTGAACCATTTCTCATTACGCTCTATATCAACATGAGACAGCTTTCGGAGAGCAGCGGACCGGGTTGTTAAAACTATTTAAGCAAGTCAAAACGTTCAAACACAGAAGAACTAGTAAGTGAAATAAAGACTAAACTTTATTGAAGGTGTTTGGTTCCATTCTTATGATTTGCAAGAGAATTCCTGATATGCTAAGGTAATGTGGGTTGGAGACTTACTGGTGAAAGCAATGACAATATAGTCGTATGAAAGCATTTTCATAGCGTAACAGTAAATTTTCTCTATCTACAGTCGTACCATAAGATTAGAATGGTATAAATAAAATTTGCTTTCATCAAGTCTATTTCAGAATCAAATTCTGGTAAAAACCTAGTAAGTATTAGTAAGTTTTTATTTTATAGTAAAGATTATGAAACAACGATCTACAATTGAGTCAAAACAAAAGAAATTTTCGTTTTCTGTAATTATAAAATATTTCCTAGCAATTGTATAGATAGATTATACAGAACTACGACGGGAAAGCAATATATTTTATACTTTTCTAAAACTCAGTTATAGTATTTTGTGAGTGAATACATTAAACTGGTAATGGTATCCATATCTAAGATTAATCATATCATTTCACCCAGTAAACTTTGAAATCATTTCTTCCTAGTGTTAAAATACTAAGGCAGAAAAATTTGTCGAACAAATGACCGATGTGTCCTGAGAACAAGTTTATACATAACATACTTGAATAGAACAAATCCAAGAGCTGTAACAGCCCATCGTCTAACATCATCATTGGTGTCACTGACTGCAGCATGAAGTAAACGTTTTACCGCCTGATTATTACCAGTCCCACAGTAAGCCATTGCAATGGTTGCCATACCAGACCAACGTAAAATAGGATCATTGTCCTGTGTTATGAAGAAAAGAAAACAAAACGGAAATAAGTTTTCAATACATAGATGCGTTCAAAATAACTAAAGATAAAGATTGATTGAAAAAACAACTGGTAAATGAAAAATGAAATCCTGTGTAATAAAATGGAACAGTTTTTCATTTAGTAGTAAAGATCATTAGGGGATTCGTTGAATCGTTGAGACGACAAATTTGCAAAACCAACTGTTTGTTGAGTAATTATTGACGTCAGATGAAACACACAGGATTTCTACGAATAGATCATGATTAATCAAATAATTAAAATCGATATGAAGAATAAATAACACAAAAGAACAGTTGCCTCATTGCAAGATGAATAGATGTGAAAAGTTATGAGGACAATATCTCAACCTAATAATATGATGGTAAGACTCTCGTAATATGATTTTTATGTTTTGAGGTTGACTCCACTAAGGAATCCCGAAGAGAAAGAAGAGGAAAAATAACTCATATTGGGTTACTTCTTTAAAAGAACAATCTTTATTTTACATTACATATTTACAACAGCTAGCTTTGTTTTTAGTTGGTTCGATATGTTGACTTTTCTTGTCGCCAAAATGCAAATCTCACAATTGCTGAGAAGAATAAAAACTTCGGTTCATATAAACAAGCCAAATTGGATCTTAATGGGTCATTCAGATAAGATATTATATTATAATAAAACTTACAATGATTAAATTATCAATAAGTTCATCAGCTTCTTCAACTCGACCGTACATGACAAGTGCAATACCTAAGGCAACGCCACGTATAATCTTCTCATGTGCTGTTTCTTTAGCATAACCAAGTAGATCTTCAATAGCTCGTGTTGATCCTGTTCCTAACATAACCAAACCAATGCCAATCCCTGCTGCTTCACCTTAAGACACAAAGATAAATTAAGATGATTTAGAATTAAAAAAAAAGCTGATGTATCATTTGAATTATTCATTAAATATGACTATTACTGCTAATTTGGTAACAAACGGTGTGTAATAAACATAGTGAGCTTAAAAATATTGGTTATTAAACTGGACTTGTTCCTACAAAAATCATGTGAGTTCTGCTATATACAACTGACACCATTCAAAACACTGAATACTGCTCCGCGTAGGTATCTTCATCATAATTGATCTAAAGCAAAACGCTATTTGAGGCTTACCAAAGAATACTTTGGTTTGAAAAAATAGACAATATTAACCAAAACGCTGGAGTCAGTATTTCAAAACCATCCTAAAACTCAAGATACATGATGATAAGCTATTGTAAAGAACGAACTGCTTAAATGCTATTTAGCGGTAATAATTATGAATGAATAATTTACACGCTTGAAACATAATCAAATGAATAGCATAATAAATGAAATATTTCAAACACACCTACCTGTGATTGCATCATCTTGATAAAGATTAAGTTTAATTTGGTCATACACATCCTCTCTACCAGTCCCCATAGCAGCTAAACCAAGACCTAAACATGCACCATGGCGAACTGGTTCTGCAGTAGCCTCCTTGCATTGATTGAGCAAATATTCTAAAAATAACATTAAAAAGTCGTTATTAAATAGTTTAATTACAAGTAGAGAGATAAACCACGTCGTGAAACGTGACATAAGTTTGTATAAGTACACAAGCAGACAAGGTCCACAGAATAGACAGGAAACACATGACAAGGGGAATAATAGTGAAGAACGAAAATTAAGAGAAACTGTCGACAATAAAAATAAATAAATTTATAAATTAAAAGTTTGAAATAATGCCATATACAAAAATTTTATTCACAATAAAAGCTATGACATGCGGTATCCGAGATCTGAAAGTAATATGTGCTAACCCACGAAACCGGCTACTTGAGCGAGAAGGAAAAAGTTGAGGAGGAAGTCTCTTCCGCCACCGAATAATATGTACAAATACTCGTCTATAAATATATATACACACATAGTTCAGCCCGTTAGAAAATGAATCCATTTCTCGATTTCTGATTGTCATCAAAATGCCTACTCATTCGGCCACTTCTAATTGGCTAGCCATATCAATCTCCACCACTAAATATCGCAGATTATCAGGTATACAAAATGCCACAAAATAGCTATGCCAACAGATAAGGGATACAAACCAAATAAAACTAAACATTAAGCATAATATACTTGAAGTATCTCAGACAGTTTGATATAACATAAAATAATTGAAACTGATTCGTACCAGAAATAAATTATTTACAAAAATACCAGCCAGTATTGATAAGTTAGTGATCCGACCACCCTAAACAAGGTCAATCGATAGAGCATTTATGATGAATACAGCTGAATTATCTAATGAGTGAGCAGTCTTTCAGATAAGTTTAATATATAATAAAGTGTCACAGACGAACTTTTTTTAAACACAGTAGGTAATTAACGCATATCTATTAAATATTTGTGATCGTTACTTTCAAGAACTTACCTGTCATTGTTCCACCATGATTAGCATGAATCAAGCCCAAGGCAAACAAACCACCACCTTCAGTGTACACTGAACCCGATGAACCACTTGCATCCTTCGGCAAATAAGCAGACATCAGACGTAACGCCTCCTTTTCGTGACCTGTAAAGAAAAATGTCAGTGAAAATTCGAGTAAAATACCGGTCAATCTTATTAGTCTTGGAATAAATGTTTTTTTATGATCCCGGTAAATATAAATCCCATGTAATGAAAAACAAATACTTACCTTTGTGTATAACTCCAAGGGTAGCAGTAGCAGTAAATTTAGCCCAATTTACAGCTTTTCCTAACCAATTTAAATGATCCCTTAAAAACTGATCTGATGTTGTCCCACAATGCATAATACCATTTGCAATAACTGTAGCATTATGCGTCACGGAATGTCGCACCTCATCACGTATGCGTTCAAGCAGTCGAAGGTCAGCTTTGTTATTTCGTATCAAAAATTGTAGGTGTAATTCAATTACCTAAATATAACAAAACAGAGTTCGTAAGTAGTTAGGACAACATCTACTAAGGACTATAGTAATATAAAGCTTGCATCTACAATATACATTCAATAGGTAAATCTAGCCCATACATTTGTACTTTACTAGCGTACGATTTATGAATAAATAAACCGTTTTTCAATTTCCTTGCGTTCTCTTATATTGACCATTTAGAATATCGATCGTTGCCGTCGTACAAACCTGCTATATGATAACTAGTAGTATTACAGACGAAGATAACATGCGACTGAACCAATTATTTTGAAAATCACTTGTTAATTGCTTCAATATTGTTTCAAAAGATTAATAGGATGCTAACTTGAGTTAAGATGAATACAAAGTATAGACCTTAAGTACTGTTTATTAGATTAACTGAGTCACCACCTGATCAAGGTAAAACTGGTTTGTTGTGTACAAACGAGTACTGGGAGTGATGGTTTTCCGTCAAATTTGAACGTTTGAAATACATCTAATCGCTAACGTTGGTGGTATGTTTTACAATAATTAACCAGTCACAATAAAGTCATAAGTGCATGAAACCCAGCATTTTTGTTCAGTTTTACGCAACAAAAACTCAATAGAAACAAGTCTTAAAGAAATTCCAAAGGTGTATACAAATTAACTCCGATGTGAAGTTTAGTTTATAGAATATATTCTCTACCGAAAACGAGTAGACGAGAGGTGATTCCGACTTTCGAATTACAACTTGCAACATTTATTGGTTTGAGGTCCTGAAGAATCTTAAAATTGTACAATCTTGATTTTATCTGTCAATATACATAAATAGTTTCATAAATTAGTTGAAAACTTGTGAATGTGAATGTTGTAGAGTTGTAAAAAGGTTCAGTTAAATTTAAAGCTTGATATGTCTGTTTACCATAGTGTGATTATTGCACACTTGGAGCCACTCTTATCAATGAGAAACATTTTCAGAAAAATGTGGCAATTAACAATAAGTAAGACAACACGAATATACCCGTTGTGCCATATGATAAGCCCTATTGAGCCAGTATAATACACTTTACTATTCTAACAAACTAGATACTATTTACAGATACACTTCCTTAAAAATATAATAAAACCAGATTACATACAATTGAAATACTTACTTTATCTCCTGATAAGATATTGATCAAGTGCATAAGACGACTTTTAATTTCTTTATCCAAATCTGACAGTGTTTCATCTGGTTTCGTCTCAGTTTCTTTGTTTGCTTCACTAGCTGATGCAGTTTCCGTTGTTTCTTCCGTTTCCTTGTTGTCTGTTTTACTTTTATCACTATCGGTAGCTTCAACAGTGGTAGGAGCTGAACCTTCTGTTGTTGAACTTTTTGCAGAGGTTTTATCACGCTCAATTAAATTCATTACATGACTTAATTTTGAACTCCGGGCAAGAGAGGCTGAAACACGTTGAAGAAAGTTTTGGGTTGCATTTTCGTACAAATCAAAACCTATTTGATATGCTGTTACGGCTGCCTCTTGTGACTGTAGTAACAAGTGCTCTAGAGTATCTGCTGTAGCCTAAAAACAGTAAATATATACCATTTATTGCGTGCATCCTTAGGCTATGTGATGAAGATAGTCGGTAATAAACACTAATACAAACACATGCTCATACAAAAACAATGAAGAATTCAAGAGAATAACCAATAAGGTTAAATATTTGTACATAGTGACTCAGAAATATCAGATTAATTAGCATGTCAAAAAGCTAGATTAATCCACATTGGTGTCAGGTAATATTAAAGGTCGCATCATCATTTAACTTGTTGTTGTCAATGTGTAAGTTCAGAATCGTTATCGTTTGCGTAATTTTCTTCCTTTTCAGTGATATATCCTCCTTAAATGGCTTGGCTACAGCAGCTTCATGATTAGAGGACAACACTTTCAACTTACATATTTTAAGCTCAGATCCGCTTAATCCATATTAGTTTGGGTAGTCGTTAGCCAAGGGTATAAACTTGTGATAGATCAGTGAGCTAACAATCTTCAAAAATAATGATGGATGTGTTATGAAAAACAACGGGTCGCGATTATCGGACCAGTCCGAACTATACAATCTGCAATTGCCAACTTATTCTCCATTAACGCTAATACCTCTACTACTATGGAATTCGAATTGATAATTCCATCTTTGTGCTAATGTGGTATGGCAGCTTGAACTGATATACGTACATACGAAGTTCTACGTTGTAGCTGACTGAGTTGCCACATAATAAAAACACCAAATAACTCAAATCAGCCCACACTTCCTACACTTAAAAATTAGCGCCTCATGTCAGACATCTACCATTAGATCAACATGTATAAGTAAAAACTGCTACTCATTTCACTCTGCAAAACAGAGCATACAACTGAGTCAATACAGACCACTTGAGTAACCGACTGCATTAATATCATTCGAAATACATTAGAGTTGATTTTGGTCCTTTTGGTTTTTCAAGAAACTTCCTAACACGACAAATGAGAATAAAAGGTGTTTTAAAATGAACAAACCTGTGGGTCGTCCATTAGTACTAAGCATTGACAAACATTGACAGCATCGGAGGGAAGAGCTCGGTTCATATAGATAGAAACTAAGATTTTAAGAAGACGGTTTCTTAAGCGCACACTGTCAATGAGAGTGAGAACGACACGAAAAGCGTAGCGAAGCATGCCCTCTTGGTCATCTGACGAAACTATTGCCTTCTCAAATATGTCCAGCCTGAAAGAAAAAAATTACATTTCATATTCCTATTAAAATGTTCTACTTAAATACAAAGGCTGGAACGATCAAAGTGACACAAATAAGATGCTCGACCTGATGATTTGTATTACTGTTTCGAAACTATTAAGGTTACATGGGCGGTGTGGGATGAATTAAGAGAAGGTAGTTAGACATTAGGAAAGATTGATATACTTTTCAAATATCCCAACTACCATGTATAAACATACTCGAAAACGATTGACGACGATGTACTAATAAAATTGCAGATTACACATGAAAACTAGAGGATAAGAGCTACTTTGCCTTTACATTTAAAGATTAAATGAAATAGATGCATCAAACCTCAAGGCACGTCAGAAAGTAATTATTGAGTACTACCTTACATCCTGAACTGAACAAATTTCTTAACCATTCAAAGTACGTTCATTTTGTAGCTAACATCTAACACCATAACCCCCGAAAAGGGCGGTTCTTAAACATTATATAATTATAATCTCTTGATCACCTATACACAGAAAAAGTGCAGGGCCATTTTGTCATTATAAACCCAAATGATACAATTATAAGCATAAACCTTATAAATAGAAAGAAAGAGGAAGCATATTGGACTGACCACTTAATGGACAAGGGATGTAACAGTTGAATGATTTAAAGAATGTTAATAAAACATTGATGGGATACTGCCATTTCACCCAACAGGACAATTACACAAATATGAAGAAACACGGGCGGTTTTTGTTAAGTTTAAAGATACCCTGATTTGAGATTTCGAAACACTATCTGTTTTACTGTAGCAGAAGTTATTCACTTTAATTTGTTCAACAGTAATCACATAAAGAAATATGCACTTTTAGGACTACATAAACTCAACCGAATAAGCGAACTATGGGGAGGTTATTATTTTATATAGGAAAACCTCAAAAAGTCAATAAATAATCTAGACTTGAGTATGAGAATATGATTAAGCATATAATGATACAATGATTTCCAGACAAATGGAAATTATTTATGAAAAAATATTAGTGGGATTATGCTAAAAACATACCTCCGAGTCTCAATAGCTATCCCCAGAGCTTGCTTATACTGTTTATGATCAAAGCAACGGTCGAACATTTTGTTGACAACATGTTCTAATCTTTTGTATGTTGGACTGTTAACGGACCAGGACCCATCGTCTGAATCTTGTGTTACCACGGGACCTGATGAATCCCCAACTTGGTCTTGAGCGACCCGAAGAGTGGTATATTTATCGATACACTTAGCTATACAGTTGTAATTAGTACTAGTTAATTACCAATAATGGTTTCCACAAATTCGGTATTCGCATTTAGATCAAAAAGATCCTCAGCACATAAAGCATAGTGAAGTGCATCATCATACACAGCTAGATGGTAGTACACTTTTGACACAAGTAAAGCAGCCAGTTTATTGTACTCGAAGTTAGAGTCTTCATGAAGTATCTCGATTTTCATTACTGCTTCTGAAATTTCAGCCCAAAACTCGTCAACCATCTCATAGAGACGTTTCAGAGCAAACGCCTGTTGAGAGGATAAGTTAAGTAAATCGGCATATTTTACTTTAACATCAGAGCCCTTATCATCCAAAAGAGAAACAAGTCCGGCAGCAGAAGTTAATGCCATCGCGGTCCGTGACTAATCAAGGCAACGCTGGCTTTGCATATAGCGCCTCTCCAGTCATCAAACGACAAGAAAACTATCCTGTTACTAGGATCATGTAATCGCCCTTTAACATACAGAGAGAAGGTTTGGTACCACATATTATATATAAGTTTCAGTATTTCACCATCTGAAGAAATAAACAAAAGAACATCTTTCGTTTCTTAACATTGGGAGAACATCCTTGTAAGTCCCAGGTGGGACCGGTGAAAACACATTACTGCCAAAATCAGTATACATTTTAAAGTAATTCACCACTGGAATGCCATATGATTATGTGATGTTGGAGGAAGTGGGTTAAGTCGCAGCATTTCACCATGCAATACTTCAGATCAATCTTCCACCACATTAGTCCATACCTGTTGAATCCATTTTAACATATTTGCATATTATTTGAGTTCTTTACTCAAAATGTTCCATAGTATGAGTTTTGTTTCACGTGAGATAGATCCATGTGTCTTTCCTGTTAATTTAACTGTTATGTTTGTGGTTCATATCGTGTGATGTTATATTCTAAAAATTTGACTACCATTAGGTCTTCTTGATGCCTTGGCTACTTCATTGACGTATATTTCAAAAATTGCCGGTAAAATATGGTATTTGCATATAAATATACTTGCTTTTTTTATGCTGCACCTAATTTCAAGTACAGTAAAATGGACTGAAGTGAGACAACGGTTTTTTCACAGTCTTTGCCTGCCGGTCCTTTGGTAACTGTTGATGTTTTGAAAGGATCTGGCGGTTTCCTTACTTCGTATCACTTCAGATTTGACATAATAAGGTAGTTAAACAAGAGTTAGCTCGCACCACATAAGGCGAAGCATCATGACACCAGTTGAATTTGAAAAGTATTGGAAAATCATGTAGCTGAATAACTTTAGGGTTTAGCATCATTTTTACACAGAATGTGGGTGAGTGAGCATTTTAATTAATTCAATTAGTTGAGAGAAACTTCTGGTTTTTTGAACTCTAAGAACTATCAAGCAAAACATTCTTCAACCTATTTTCCTAGAATACCCGAGGAATACATGATCAGCTATTCTAGTCATATATATGATGCTAAAAATCTTCATTTTATTTGTTGGTTACTATTGCCTAATATTTAGTATTATGCCATGTTTTAATACGAGTACAGTATTATGAAGTTGACGATATTAAACGAGATAAAGATGAACTTGTATTACGCTGCACCGACTGCTATTGTTGCCTAAAGCGAATTCGTAAAGAAAACTAGCTGTAGAAGACACAGGACCGTTCATTTCTAACAGTTCTTACAGTCGAACCCAAATGGAAACATTGATTTCACATTGCTTAATTACTTACGCCCGTTACCCCCAATCGAGCATAGACCGCTCACCAGTTTTCTCCAACCAACTCTGTCCTGGGCTTCCCTCTCCAGTTCTGTCCAATTTTTGTTCATTCCCCTCATATCTTTCTCTATTTCTCGGCGTTATATGTTCCTTGGCCTTTCTCTTTTCCTTTTGCCTTGAGGGTTGTAATTGAGGGCTTGTCTCGTGACGCAGTTAGGTGCTTTTCGTAATATGTGTCCTATCCGCTTCCGCTGCTTCTTCCTGATTTCCTCCTCCACGGGGATCTGCTTTGTTATCTCCCACAGCACGTTGGTGCTGATCGTGTCTGGTCAACGAATACGAAGTATTTTGCGTAGACAACTGTTATTAGACACTTGTATCTTCTGGATGATGGCTTTGGCAGTTCTCCATGTTTCCGCTCCATACAGTAGAACTGTCTTGATGTTTGTATTGAAAATCCTGATTTTGGTGTTGATTGATATTTGCTTAGATTTCCAGATATTTTCCAATTGTAGAAATGCAGCCCTTGCTTTTCCGATCCACGCCGTCACATCTGCATCGGATCCACCTTGATTGTCGATGATGATACCCAGATATGTAAAGGTGTTAACGTCTTTTAAGGCATCTCCATCAACAGTGATTTGGTTGGTGCATGTTGTGTTGCATCGGAGAATTTCGCTTTTCCTTTGTGTATGTTGATACCTGCTGCTGCTGCTACACTGGTCGTCTTCTCTTGCATTTGTTGTTGCGTGTGCGATAAAAGAGCCAGGTCATCTGCGAAGTCCAGATCCTCCAGTTGAGTCCTCGCTGTCTACTTAATACCGTGCTTCCCTCCAGATGTCAACGTCTTCATAATCCAGTCGATCACCAGAAGAAAGAGAAAGGGTGAGAGTAAGCAACCTTGCCTGACACCGGTCTTCACTTCAAACGAGTCTGTTGGCTGTCCGTGTATGATTTTGCAGTTGAATCCATCATAAAAATTCCGTATGATGTTAACTATTTTATCGAGCACATCGTTGTGTCAAAGAAGCCTCCACAGTGTTTTCCTATCCACGCTATCAAATGCCTTCTTGTAGTCGATGAAGTTGATGTATAGTGGTGATGTTTAGTTGATCTCAAAGTTTGGCGTCTGTCTGACAATACCCTGTTGAAGACTTGCCTGGTATTGAAAGAACAGTGATGCCTCTATAGTTCTCACACTTGCTGAGATCGCCTTTCTTTGGTATTTTGATCAGGTATCCTTCTTTCCAATCTGATGGTATTAGTTCCTCATCCCAAATCTTCTGGAAGAGGATGTGAAATATTTTTACAGCTGCTTCCACATCTGCTTTCATTGCTTCTGCTGGAATGTTGTCTGGTCCTGCCGATTTGCCACTCTTGATTTGTCTGATGGCCATGCTGAGAACTTTTTGTTTGTTTGCTTTCGGCTCTTTAGAATGATGAGACGACTAATCAGTAGCACTGAGGTTGCTCTTATACGCTTGCTACTTCTGTGGTTCATGTTTCCAAAACTATGCTGAGGTCGCTATTCTGTCGAGACACCCGCAACATTCTTACTCAGGCGCTTACAGTATGTCTTAGAGGTTGGCATTCAATAATAATAATTAAAAAAACAGTTAGACAGTGAAAACTTTTAATCATCATTGTTTTCTTTTTACAAATTCTACTCTTTCGATTTCAACGTACATAAATCCAGCTTCTTACTTCGACTTCTCTTCTATCCACCTGACACTGCACAACTCTTCCTTTTTTTGCTGTACTCCTTTGTCTGTGGGTTATTTTCTTATATTCCTATAATTTAATTTAAGTGATCAGCATGAATTTTATCTTGACTTACTACTGCACTAACTACTTCAACATGACAGGTTAAGTAGTGCTTTGGTTATATATATACACGTGCCACACTGCTGCCTTTTTCTCTCTCTCTTTTCTGCTTTTCAGAACCCCATTAACTGTCGGAAATCCTTGGCGACTCTAGGGAACATGCACCCTATGTACATGACTGTCTGGATCACAGCTCGTATCAAGCGCGTTCCATTTGATCTTTCCCAGCAAATTCACTATTGATCTCGGCAAATCACCAAAAGAACCTATTGTGCACCTACCTTATTTGTACTCTACTATTGAAAATTTGGCTGTATTATACTGTTTCTGCCAGTGAGATGGTGTAAATATGCTATCAGAAACTGACTCTTATACTTAATTTAACTGCTATAACTTTTACAGTAATTGTAAAAGCATTTGTGACAATTTGATCTAGCCTGTAAACTGGCGTGACTCTTGTAACTTAGTTATTTGAGAATAAATTATTATTATTATTATTATTATTATTATTATTATTATTATTATAGCATTGATGATACTCCTGCGAGTAATGGTGATCGAGGGAAGTTGAAAGGCACTCATCGACGTCGAAATGATCGTACGTTACGCTCACATGCTGCTACCCAAGCTAAGAAGCATAAGAAACAACATGATGCTACTATTATTGAGAAGCCTAAACTTCGTTCTCTTTCGGATGCTATGACTAGCAATGGAAATAGTAGTCATCAGAATCTTAGTAGTGACAGCGGTAGTAAAGAGACAGAAAGTGTGAGCAGTCCACCTATAGTGACTAGTCGGTCAACTTCATCGAATGAGCCTTCTAGTGTTTTGACGTCATCGGACTCTGTCGCGAATGCTAAGTTCATTGAGGATACACAAGGTTGTGCAACTGTAAGTGTTCCTACTTCGGTTGACTGTCAGTCAAGTGATGATGAGAAGGAAGCGTCTGATGGTAGCAGCCAGTCTACAGTGTTGCATGATAACGATGCTATTGACGTGCATACGTCTTGTGTCGCTGAAACGGAACATGAAGAACAACAAGTGAGTTTATCGGTTTTGAATTGCGATACTAATGCTGTTCTTTCATGTAGAGAGATGAGTTATACAACAATGGAAGAGTTTCACTCTACGGATGCTAGTGCAGCCAGAAACGACGCGACTTGTCTGACAGAACGGAATCATGATGACGATGATAATAATCTGGATGTCACTGATGTGACAAATGAGTTGCCGACGATGACGAATGCTGACCAAACCTCCTCTGTATCAGGAGATGGAGAGTTAGATATTGGTCCCATGTTATGCCACTTAAAGTCTTCGGGAGACGAGGAAATATCAAAACTGGAGATCCCATCCTTGCGTATTATCTATGGGTCAAGAACTTCTGTTGATAAGTCAGCATCACTGACTTCATTGTATCTGCCGTTCGGAGCAAGTGGTGGTGGATTGACGACTCATCCCCATGATATGGAATGTAGTTCCCGAATAGGATATGACCAGCTTTACGACGTGTTGTACATGTTCATGTGGGTTAATTGGATAAGGTTTATACTACCGTTAGGTCATGCTACGATAGATAGGGGAATCAAGGGCCTGATGGGAAGGTACAGGTACCTAGTTAGCTTGATAGGTCATATCCATGTTGGAGGGCGGGTAGGCGTACTGCTGTAAGTCCTACTCGTTCTTCCGGTGTATATTAGGGGATGAGAGTGAACCCAAACTTGAAGTGTCAATAAGCGCTTGTTTTTTGCACGGAGGGATTTTGCGGGCCGGTGTAGAATCTTTTTTGAATGTTTTGTTTTTTTTGGAAAATCCCTCCATGTTTATATATATTTGTTATGACATGACGGACTCTTTCTGTTGACATTTTGGTATTTTATTTGATTCCATTTTGAGATTTTATCATTGTGTATTGTTATTATTTCTATATATTTGTACTTATATTGAAGTTTTTATGTTTGCTTCTGAACTGTACACATGTTGTTTAAATTTGATATATAATATGGCTACAGCCATATTTGGATTTGATTTCGTTGCAGTTAATACTAGCATCACCTATTCTTTTGGAACTGGATACCCATCAGGGTAATTGGGACTTGGAAGGTGTATTAAAAACCACTTTTTCCTAGAATTAGTGTTTTGATATTGTACTAGGAGAGGGTGCGTTCGTCCTACACCTACTGGAAACAAATTGAACTGCTACGGTAGAAATTTCATCTACACTGTTTATGACCAGAGTATAAAAGCAGTTCCATGAAGCTAGTCTCAGTTGTCCTACCTGTGTCCAGTGAGTTTCACTGATGCCGAGCACCTCGAGGTTGTATCTTTTTATTTCTGCCACAACTTGAAATAGTCTTCCAGTCTCCCACAATGTACGAACGTTCCATGTACCTAAAAGAATGTTTGCTCTGGTTGTCAGTAGACGCATCGGCCCCGTGACTTCCGAGGGAACTCGGCTTTCATCCTACTCCCAGGGTGAACAGCTTTCCAGTACTCTGAAATCTTAAAGTATTCCCTGGATGCTTTCATTTCTCCATCCAAGTTCCGTAAATCGCTTTCCTTCTAGAGAACAATATTCACAACTCTTCCAAATCATATCAGTTCCTTCTGAGCAGTATTCATATGGTTCAATGTCTGAGGATATCAAGGTTATTGAGAGTTGGAAAACGCTTTTCTCTGGATAACCTGCCAGATCGCGAATACTGACCAACAAGTCAGGCCAGAAGTCCGGAAAAAAGAAGACCGAGAGTACATTTAAATGAAGGTTGGGATGTCGGAAAGGTGAGTGATGAAAGCTTGCTTGTTGGTGTGAGTAGATACATTGCACAGCGCACCCAACGATGATCTGTCTTGAGTGTTGAGCCGGGCACCTCTAACTAGAGTTTATTCACCAAAACTAACGAAATCACTGTCAGTTTTGAAAGCTTACAGAACTTTTACTTTAGGGGTCTATCTTCCGCCACAACTCACTGCCTCACCTAGTAGGGTAGTGATGACACCAAGAGGTAATCAGCCAAAAGTTTAAACCCGAAAGGCGTGACGTCAGTAAACATTTCTGAAATCTTGCTTCACCCAGAAGGCTCTGGTAGTCTTTTCCTACCTTAAGGAACCATGTGGTGCATAATATTGTGCAAAAAATGTAAAATGATAAGTTCGACTCTTCGTTTTCATCTTTACCAGTCGTCCTGGAAGAGAAAACAGTGATAATGTAATAGAACGTCAAAAATGTACTCGTAATTATTAAAATAAGCAAAACGTACAATAAGAAAACGCAGCATGCATGTGGTTATGTACCGTGTGATATCGAAGGAACTCTGCTTTCATCATGAAAGTCATAACTCTTCTTAATACAGACCTAACTCTTAGAGCAGAGTTTAGATAGTTTGAATCATTTTTTCATGTTAGCGTTTTTTAGTTAGTTTTCTAAGGGAAGGGGTCGCCGACTCCATCACCAACCCCGCTCCTTTATCCATGCGGAATTAGATATGCCTGATGCCTTTCTTTGGACTAGCTTGTTGTTGTTACTGTTGTTTCCCGAGGTCACTAGCTTAAATTAATCTTACTCTCCTATTATCATCTCTGTTTCATCTTCCATCCTCACGCTTCTATTCTCTCACACCATATCTACTGCTAATTAATTATTTATTTACTTAGTATTGAATTCTCATTCGCTTTAGAATTCCCTCTTTATCATTCTCTACTTGCGTCTAAATCATCTCCGACCTGGCGATGTGATAGCTGATGGTATCCGGAAACATACTGCTTTGAGACAAAAGAAATCAAGTACTGGCACATACAAATCCACAACTAACTGTCCATTGACTAGAAGTAGTCCAGTCGAGTGGCTAGACTACCATCCACCGGACATTAGAAAACACCGAAAAATTTACTGCTGCAACGAGAACCGAAGGCGATGAAACCCATTGGTTAATACTTGCTCATGAAAAAGATATTTTGTATTGGATATTGGAAGTGTACTACAGAGCGCCATATTGTCTATTGCGCTACCGGAGTATGGCGTTGACTTTCGCAAACTCAGTTGAACCATCCTTTGATTCGCTTAATTTTTCATATGGACTGAATAGGCAACAAGAACGTAACAGAAAAAAGAAATTAAGGAAAAAAGCCTCACTGAAGCGTCGTAGAGAACTGAAAAATCAACCACAATTGTTAAATGGGGTCTTGGATTATCCTAACGGAGAGCATGAACATGTAGAAAGTGACCCTGAACTAGAAGATGAAATAATTGAGTTCCAATACAAAGGACCATTTGAACGTTTTAAGGCGAGTTAATGCTTGGTGGTTCGTTATGATCGTTAATGATTGGTTGTGTAATTGGTATCCTGCTTCGGGGTTATAAGAACGGACTGTAAGATTTTAGGTCCAGTAAAATGAACACATAAGTTATGTCTTCACCACCTTTGCGGTTTTCGGTTGCTATTGATGCTTTGTCTTCATTTACAAAGATGCTGCTTGAAATCCTAAACCATTTCTACCCATACTAAACGTTAACATAATGTTATACTATCACACTACTCCTTGATAATGAATTTCCATGTTCTCTCTACGCTGCATGTCTTTTGATATAATGCTTGCCGAACTTTTTCCACTACTCCATCCTCTACTGATAATACTTCTAACACTTCACAATGGGGTAGTTGAGAAAGAGGGTCTTTCATTAATTGCGGTGAAGTTTCCTCCTATGAGCTGGATGTTTTGATTGTAGAGCTTTCATTGTTCTGAACAACATCAGCAAAAACTTCAGATCGGAGAATTCTATCTATCATCCACCTAAACTACAAATTTTCTCCAAAATCTCAAAGGATATTTTGTTGAATTCAGTACAGATAAGTCGCACTATTGCTATTCCATGCTTTTCTGATATTAGTTACTGCAAATCTCCAGAGTTAGACTTAAATTTAAGTTCTATAATCGCTAGACGCTAACACTTAGGATTCAAGTCAATGATCGTAGGAGCTGAAACATGTTGACAGAAGACTTCAGGATACTCAGAAATATAAATATGGTTGCTTTTCTGTATAGAGTTTCGAGGTATTATTATCTAAAACTCTATAACATCAAATACATGTGGCTTCGAAATTCTGCGGTTACGTGGTGTGTGTGTGCATGTGTATGTTTGTTTGTACGTATATAATATCACGAAAAAACCTATTTATTATAACCTTTGGATGTTCTTTTCATTTCTGCTAGTCCGTGTCTGACTAAGGTAAATGGTGACATTGGTCAGTGATCAGGTTGGATTCCTTAGCTTCACCTGTCTGTTAAACTATATTTCGGACGTTTAGCTGTCTATTACATTAACATTATTTCCCATACTCCTATTGTCATATTAGTTTCATGTCGCTTTTCTAATGCAAGTTATAGCTATTTATGCCTACTCACATTCGTCCCAAGTTTCACATTATCTAACAGACTGCTCAGAATAGTATTTAAGAGGACATAAAGGTTAACTCTAGCAGACTTACTAATAGCCCACACATATCTTTGTAGAATCTAATCCATCTTATCTTGAATCCTTTCCCTTAGTTTATGGGTTGTTTCCAATGTGTTAGCTATCAAATATTACGTCAGACATTTACAATACCACACTACTTTATGGCATAGATATATTTTTCTTGATGACCCATTCACTTTTTAAACACTATTACAAATTCATTTCCTAGTTGCTCTCTTAACTGCACCATAGCCAAAATTGCTACAAAGACTCCCATTAAATAATATTAATCTTTTCTAGTTGGCTGATGATGAGGCAGATTCTGTTCCCTCTAAACCAATATCACATACTGACGTCAATTTAAAGGCTCGTACTGCTGCACTTCTTGCTGAAGAAGCTTCAGCAAATGAAGCTAGACGGCGTTTTCCAAGTCAAGATCCTGAATCAAATAAAGGTCTACAGTCCAAAGTTGGTTCTGCAGGAGGATTAGAGTCAGGAACTAATGGAGTTGAGATATTAAGCAAGAAAAAGTTGAAGCGTCTCAACCGTCCTAGCGTTGCTGCACTTAAACAAATGGTAGCACGTCCTGATGTCATAGAAATGTGGGATGTCTGTGCTAAGGATCCACTTTTACTGGCTTTCTTGAAAGCATATCGCAACACTGTACCAGTTCCCAAACATTGGTGTGCAAAAAGAAAATATCTACAGGGTAAACGTGGTTTCGAGAAACCTCCTTTCCGCCTACCTGATTTCATTGCTCGCACTGGCATAATGGAGATGCGACAAACAGTACAAGACAAAGTGAGTTCATTAAATTCTTTCCCTTCAATATTTTTGTCCTGATAAACACTATATACATAATTTTCAAGTCTTAGTTAGTCACATTTTTCCTGTTTAGTAGTCAGAGCCGCTTGAAAGAGCTCGCAGTTTATCAGATTTTTTTATTTATTCACCTAAATATTGGTTCAAGAAGGCACCAATATATATACGCTCCTCGTAATACAAATGAGGTTGTGAAAAGTTAAAAAAATGAAGGTCAGTACAATAAAAAAGAACAGAAATGAAATGTGTATCAGAGTAAAATAAAAATATTACTGATAATAGTGCAAGAGACAGTTTAGTCAGGAAAAATATAACCGGAAATAATTCTTACGGTTGAAGTTCCTCTCACTTATATGAAGAAATTAAAAGAAAGACAACGAAACCGCCACTGACTTCTATTCTGAGCCATGTTTAATAACTTTTTGAGTTACTGAGTTGCACCATCTCTGGAATCCCAACGAGATAGTCGTGAAGGACCAACAGAAGCCATTCACGTATAGCTTTCTTACCATGACACTATGTCAAATATTGGTTACTCACTTTTTCCGACCAGACCCGGAGTTGGAAAATAATGTACGATGTGAAATTCGCTGGAACGACATTCGTAGTACATGTCCAAACCACTGAAATCAATGTTTAAAGATGGTAACACCAACTAAGTTATCGTATGTGTCCGAACTCACGTTGCCGAACTTCCGCATTGTTAACATAATGTATGGCATTTCATTCAGTTCTACCAATTCAAACAGTATCTCCGCTGATGGTCTTGAAGGCAGTTATTACCAAACCAGAAAATTTAACAGACTGAGAAGCCAATCTACTAGTAACAGAGTACCGACATCCTAAGGTTAACTTGTGATTAGTTAGACGAAAATACTGGAAGAAAATGAACTATCACTCTATACGCTCACGGGTAGATACAGTCTGACGTAACCATCACATCACACGAAAATTGTAGTTTCTGAGAGACCCTGTAGTAAAAGTAACTAAACAGACGTGAGTAAGCACTTGCGTAGGTAACCTGCATTTGGCAGGAAAACTTCAGTGCTGCATGTCATTTCGAGACACCGTTTTTCACTGGAACATTCCATTTTACTGGCTCTGACCTAAACTTTGTTGGTTTCGATTAGTTTGACAGCCTTCATTTGGCGGACATATCTCTTAGATCTGTACGTAATAAAGTCCAGACGCTTCTAAAACATTCTTTTGATATCTTTTAATGAGGTCTGGGTTTTTGGAAAAATATTCAAGCAGTGTTACAACTGAATCTTAATTTCTCCAGTGTTGCAACTCAAAAGGCTCATTCTTTATACTTACCTGATGAAACTTGATGAGCTCACACAAGTACAACAGTAGAACGTTTTTACACCAATCACTTATTCGGCATGAGTAGCCCCTGTTTTCGTCATAAAAAACGAAAGTTTTATTCACAACCTGTAATGATTCCTGAACGTGTTTCAATGCTGCTCTCAAATAGCATCCTTATCATCTCACTGATCGAATTTATTTTGCAAAAGGACGTAACTGATGCACACTTATATGTAGAAGGTATCCCAGAATGTTGCAACTTACTGTAAATGCATACCGCAGTTTGTTCCTGTTTACCTTACTCCTATTCACAGTGACATCCGCTCTCTCCAATTCAATAGCTAGTGGGTATCATTCGCTTTCCTAGCACCATTTGAGGATTGCTAGAGATTATGGAACTGCCTAGACGAGCAATGTTTTGTGGTGTAGGAGTAGGTGTGAAGAAAGCTAGGGGTAGCCGAATCAAAACATGGCATACGTTAGTAGATGTAGACTACCTGGTTGGGGTCCGCGAGATGATAGTAACCGATGGTTAGAGACCTTGAATGACATGGCTCAAGATCGTTTGCAGTGGCCCAGGTACATCCATTCTCTGTGTTATCTCAAATTCTAGTCTTCAGAATTCCCCATCATCTCAATCTTCCTCTTACTAAAGCCATCGCACTGAATTATACTTCTTGAATAATAATACCGTGATCATTCCGATCACTGCTCATACTTCTGCTACATCTACCACTGTGGGATTTGGATCGACAGTTGCATCTCTGTGCTACCGTGGTATAGCAACTTGAACTGATGTACGTACGTACGAAGTTCTACGTTGTAACTGACTGACTGACTGACTGGGCGATAATGAAACGTATTCAGCAATAACTACTCAGTGAATACAATTCTGAAGGTCAAACAGTTTATTAGAAGCAAGTAGCTGAAAAGCTTAGGCGATAACGTACGAGAGTTGATTAACAGATGAGATTGCACTGTTTAAATCATATTTAATATTCTTTGGGTACTTGGATATGAGCCGCCCTCTACATATGAGAGCTTTTGATAATACCCGGTCTCTCTGTAACCGATGTTTAGAAGGATACATAATGTGGAATCATGGAAGAATATTCAATGAAGTAGCTGTAGGAAAAGACAAATGGATCAAACATTTCAATCACTGTAATAGAAATACTTTTGGGCTACATATTATCACAATAATAACCCTTTTGGGTTCCCTTCAGCATACCAACCCACAAAGCACTAATCAACTCAAATGCCTAAACCAAGTTCATGAGCAGTATAATAGTACGACCGACATCGGCAAAAGGTGACACACTTGTAGGTAAATCTAAAAGTAGTTCTTTGTTTATTGGAGGCGGTTATTTGGGATGTTACATTCTCAAAACTCAATTATTTATTTGCGTTTATTTTAACTTGAGTCCACTGTTGTACTATCTATGATTTCGCATCAAATTTGATTTATTCAGTATAATGTTCAACTTGATTAATTCTATGTATACATTTTTCCAGTGTGACATTTTCTTTCACCAACAAATACTAATTGCAACCTCCATGTAATAGACTGAATTTGAATGTGAATTAGTCTCCTTTGGTTTATATCAAACAGATCTTTCCAATAGATTTATCTTTTAGAGTAGCTGTGACTGAGAGGAGAGACCTGTGGTATCCTGATATAAAAGTTTGGTTAAGCGTCATCACTATCATCGCAGTTACATTAGTAAGATATTTCTCAGTCCATTACTTATTAAGACTGTAATAATAACAATAGTAATGATAAACATAATAAATCCCTCCAAAATTTTCAGGATTCCGACAAAACTTTGAAAACCAAAATGCGTGAAAAAATTCGTCCGAAAGTTGGAAAGGTGGATATCGATTATCACAAATTGCATGATGCTTTCTTCAAATATCAAACCAAACCCAAATTATCAATTCATGGCGATCTCTATTATGAAGGCAAAGAATTCGAAGTAAAATTAAAAGAAAAAAAGCCTGGTAATATGTCAGATGAACTTCGAAATGCTCTAGGTTTACCGTCCGGTTCTGTAAGTCCTTGATTTTTACCGTGTGACGATAAACTACTCATTGTATTATTTTATCACATCCCTTACGGATCTATGATCTATTGAGGCCAAATTTATCATATCTACGTTTTTTTTTATTAGGGAGCTTTCTCAATATCCTTTTCAAACAAAATAAAATTTTATCGGATCACTAGTTTACTTTTCCGAGCTGAGATACCTGCATGTATTTTTTACATACTGTGCAATTCTTAAGTACTCATCTCAACCAATTTTCATGTGATATAGTGTAGTTATACTCCATATATATATATATATATATATATATATATATATATATATATATATATATATATATATAATATATACATAAATTACGTAAGAAATTTTCGAGGTGCATTCGAAAGCTATTCAACATTTCTCTTTTCCTTTTGAATTAAATTCTGGTTTGAAGAGAATAATCTAAAATATTATGTTTGTTCTTTCCCTAGGACAAGCTACTTAATGATTTTTATTTTAATAGTAATCAAAGTTTGATGAAAATTTGACGAAATAGTGTTTATGCGTGTATATATCAACAGATTTGTTTACTCTTCATAGAATGATACCATAGGTATCATAAAATTGCCTACTGTCATTTTAACGTCGTAGGTCACGATTTTGAATTAAGTCGGTTTAAGATAATTTTTATACTTTTAAGTTCTTATTGGTAGTTTAAATACTTCATTTGTTGTTTGATTTCATCCTTGTAACCTTGGATAACTTAAGTACAGTTAATATCATACACTTGAGTACCGATTTCAATTCATTTTTTCCCTATTTTCAAGATATTAGTTCTGACAGATCTTAAATGTATAGACAATTTCAAAAAGATGTGATATTAAATATAATGAGCAAATAGTAGTAGAAATGAGGTTTGGAAAATAAAATGATAGTACACTATTTAGATCTAATAAATATATTGAATTATCAACCCATCATTCTAGTAAAATGCTAACACATGTATTAAGAGACTAGAATTTGTTCACTTCTGCTGTATTTTTGTTGGGCTTATTATCACTTCGTTTTCTTTGTATCTAAAATAAAACATATTTCTTATAAATTTCACTTAAGGGTGCTGAGCGATATCCTCCACCATGGTTGATTGCTATGCAACGGTATGGTCCACCACCTTCTTATCCTAATTTAAAGATTCCCGGTCTAAATGCTCCTATTCCTGATGGTTGTGCATTTGGTTATCACCCTGGAGGATGGGGTAAGCCTCCTGTGGATGAACTCGGACGTCCTGTTTATGGAGATGTGTTTGGAAATGGAGGTAATATAGCCGGTGTTCCACCCCCACCACCTCCACCAACCACTTTTGAGGATGCCGATGAACAAATCGGTGAGTTTTTCGCGTTCTTTTTTAGTTATTACACTGTTTCAGCGATTCTACAGTTAAGAGTAGTGTTTCTTGATCACAACCAAATGTGGGCTTTCATTTGTTGTATAGAACGCTAGTTAATATCAGGTCCCATTTCAAATAGACGATTCATTTGGACGTCTTAAGTGAAAATACATGTTGACTGTTGTGACTTTTCCAGGAAATAATAAGTATTCTAGCTTTATATATAATATAGTTTTCATGTGTTACCAGTTTGCTGTGCTTGTTGTCCGACCAATACTTATGACTTTTTCTGCTATTTTCAAACTAATATGCAATTTGACTGTAGTATTAGTATGATCTGGGTATTTATTCTTTACTTGTTTCTTTTCTGTATGATCATTAATTTTTTGTTACAAGAAATATACTTTCTAAGGTGACACGATTTGGGCTAACAACTTTGTATTACGTCATTATTAATGGGAATTAAAGATACGTTTAGGTAGGGATATTCTCAGTGTTATGTGTAGGATTTATTTTAGAACAATGGACTGCAGATAGCCAGTCTGTAAACTTCCCTTTTGAACGTCAGAGGAACGTTGACACGAAAGGCACACTCGTCAAACGTAATGGACTCAAGAAACAACCATAACGAAAGAAGTTGCTAAAACTGATGTAAACATACAAGTCAACCGCTCGGAAAGTTATTTGATGACCACAAAGTCTAAATTCAAGGTTCCTTCCAACCATTTCCAAAATATTTAGGACTCTGATTTGTCAGTACAACACTAGTTAAATTTGTACTAATTGTTAATTGTTACATATTCTATTCTAGCCCATGGAAATATCAGTTATTGGGGTGAGTTGGAATCTGATGAAGAGTCTGAAGGCGAAGATGGTGATCAAGATATGGACACAGACGATGAGAGTGATGAAGACCAAGCAGCAGCATCCACATCGGCTGAAAATGAAGCCAAAAAGATGCTTGTTACTTTGCCAGGCGCTGGATCTATTGCTCGACCAATGGATGTTGGTGGCTTGGTCACACCTGCTGGAGGGTAAGCTGTCGTTTATTTTCTATTACTGTTATTTGTACTGTACCATAAGTTAAACATCGTAAGATCATTCAGTATTTTCTTTAGGCAAAAAGTATGATATTAAACAAGTTTTAATTTTGTTTGACCGCAAAAAGTTATCAAAATTATGTAACTTACTGAGTAGGTTTTGTTCACTTGAAGTATTTTCACTATTCTTAAGCTTTCAACTCCATGAATAGCCTTCAGTATAACTCATTTCTACGATTATTCAGTGAGATTTTAAATCAACAGTAATATTGATTTCATACATTTTTAGTCAAGAATGAACATGCTATCATTTAGAGTGTACAGCATGCGATTGACTAGTATACTATGTGCTCTCTTTTTTTGAAACTAATCATCTCTGATTTTAACGTAACAAATAATTCTTGAAAATAAGATAACAGATCTCGGAAATAACATAAGCCCCCTCAAAAATAAAGTTAAAATATTTTGATAACTATTCGTTTAAGAGAATATTTAAGAAATCAAGCTCCCGCTTAAAATAAAATCCGAAATGATAATTAACAAGAATTACGTTCAACTAATTAAAACACGGTTTAAACGATAACTATTCGTTGTTAAAATAAAGCAGTTTTTAAAGTTAAATATTAATTAAAACAGACCAATTATTATCACATTCACTAACGGGAATGACAAGATGTTCTGTTGTGTCTGAGGTACACTCTTTTCCTTTTTTTAAATCTAGATTCCATTTAGTCTAGTTCTTTGATTGTAAACATTTGTTCAGTTTAGTCACGAACTACAATTGGTTGTAAATGTCTTGCTTTATTTTTTGTTTTGACTAATTTGCTTGTGGAGCTTGGTTTGGAAGTCAGCTAGTTTGACTTTCAACTAATTGGCTCAATAGTGACTTCGTATTTAGAAAAGTCGAGTCCCGATCATTTGGTTACGGCTTCGAACCCAGCTTCATCTATGTGGGTTTGGGGAACCGGGTAATGTTGCCACCAGCCCTTATACTGTGGTTGTAATATATAGACTACATGAACCTTTGCATGATCATGGAGTTGTGTTAGTTGTCTGTTTTCCGAAAAATCTGATCAATATAATTTCAGATTATTTTATTCATTCCTAACAGCCATGTCTAGATATCTCTACTGCTCAAATATTACTACCAAATTCAAGGAACGTTAACTATACTCATCTTTAACAAAATGCTGTGTTTGTAGAAAAATATTGCGGTTTTTATTAGTTTTCATGTTCATTTTTACATTTCTTGTGAAATTCTTTGAATATGGTCCATATAGAGTTAGTATTATACTTCACGGCATTAGAAAAGTTAGTTTCTCGATTTTACAAATGAATACTAATTTAGTTTTGTATCTCTCTTATATAACTGATTATAGTTTGTTTATTGTGAATAGGAATTTCCAATTTTCTAAAAATTTCTCACAAGTTGACTACTTTTTGTAAGTTTCTTCCTTAACTGAACTTGGTCGCTTTGAGATTGGTCGATGATTCAAAGAAATCTATGACGTTTTATGGGTTTTCGTGAATATTCTTTCTTATAAGTTCTTTTATTAAAAAGTTGAATCTTGTTTTTATTTTCATGCTGTTTTACTTTTTTCCTCACAGATTAATAACACCTAGCGGTGTATCCAGTGTCGGTGCTGGTTTGGAAACTCCACAAAGTATGATTGAACTGCGTAAGAAAACAATCGAAGAAGCAATGGAAGATAGTACTGGTTTGGTTACACCATCTACTCAATTGTATCGTATACTTCCTGAAACTGAAACCAATCTTCAACCTAATGCACTTATGGGTAGCACCAAGTTGTATGATGTGGCTGGTGTAACAGGTGCTCAGCGTGGAATTGAAGTAAGTATAGTGTTTTGTGTATGTGACCGATTAAAATTCAAACTATTACCAAACTCATCTTCCGTCTGTCTCATTGTCACTGATTTTATTTTTCCGTAAACTTCTGTCGCTAAGCAACAGTTTTTGATAAATGTGTTCAAGAAGATATCCTGATTATTGACTCAAATTGCTTTGATTGGTTTAACATTTTCATTTAAATATTCATGTATATTAGAGTAAAGCCTGATGACGATCTAATCGAAAACAGTATCGTTCGCTTATGTGTTGTTGTGATAACATATGTAACCATTTTTAATTAAATAAATTTTTAGCATATTTATGTATGTTAACCTACCAAGATGACCTTTTGTCACACAAAGTCTGTAACTTTAAATGATCTCCTGGTTACGATCGGTCTATTAAGTTAAGTAATCGAACTTTCGTTTCATATTACAAATGTATAACTTATAGTTCCTATATGTGTATAGTTTTTTTTAGTTTTCTTTTGTAATCATACATTATCTCTTTTCAAAGCTTTGACATGTTTCTGGTAACCTAGTTTATGCTTGAATTCGGTATCTGAGTCCACAGCGTAGATTTTTTGTGTGTTCTTATAAAAACATTGATCTCAATTAAGTTTTATGCGATGGTTAGACTTGAAACATTTTGGATTTCCAAATGCATTGCATGAATGTTTCACCTCTCTATAAAGGAGCTCATAGTCTTAAGCAGATAATTGGAGAAGACTCATGAACTTTCTGGTGTAAAGTTATAAATATATCAATGTTTTTCTTACTGTTGTGGTGAATGATATTCACAGTGTCATATAAGTAGTATGTAGCGTAGCGTTGCCTAAAAGTTGCTACCATAAAGAAAAATGAGAGGAAATCCACATGCATAGCGTGATCAGTGTAGTTTAAAGACCAGAAGAAACGTAGGAGAAAATAGTTAATAAGCTGCTTGTTTGGCAAATGGATGTTTAAAGTGGTGTACGTATTTTGTTGATGAATTGTGTCTTCTCTAAATAAATCTATCCCATCTCATATGGAGTAGTTCGTTCTTCATACCGTGATTAACTCCCAGTCAACTTGGTTTATTTAGAATACAGCTAAATATCTAATCAAACTGTGTTCTGATTTGGGAACTAGTGAAGTAGTGTCCGAAAGGTCATAAAGAAAGACGTTACAATTTCTATCTAGATATAGGTGTTTACTTGTTGACTTTCGTGTTTGACCTAAGATAATTCATAAGGTCAAGTGATTGGGTTTCGTCTAATACGAATAGAATCTAATGTGAGTTTGACAAACTGTTAACCGGTACATAACACTTCGACCATATCTCTAACTCTATGGAACACAGAAGAGAAAACAGTTATTCAGAATAAGCTTGATATTAAACTGTCTCAATGACTTTGGGATAGTTAATAAAATTAACTAACTGAAAGAGACAATGTCCATACAAATAACAGTAAAAGTCATACAAATTTATGAATTAGAAAAAGTTTATCGCAGTTATTCATGTATTTATTAATAAATACTTGAGAGTGAGAGATTTCACACTTTCCCCCTCGAATGTTGTGTCACAAAGTAGTTTTCTTTGCAAGATGTAAGCTTTTTCACCTTTCCAGTTATGATAATCCATTCACATAATAGAACAGATTTTTTCAATAATAAGTACAATTACTATTTTCATGATACCGAATTCCCTGATACAACCAAAAGAGTTTGCTCTCGGCTCGGGTATTGGTCCCTTGAGAAAACCACCTGCTTCGGTTGGGGGGGACCCGGGCAGTATTCTGGCCCCCATACAAAAATTCACTGGTTTTTATGGCTCATTTATTTAGGTGTCGCTTTGTACTAAATTTTTGTGAGTTTAAATAAAAATAATGATCAAACTACTAATCGACTCATTCAGTTTGTTAGATTGACTTTAATCAAATCGGATACTGTTGATCGCTATTCTTGGACGGGTCGAATAGAGAAGCATTCAACATGATATTATTTTGAATAAAATGACTAAAGACTACCAAAAGAAGTGTACTATATTACTTTCAGATTTACTTCAAGAGGATGATCGTTCACTAATGGACATTGTTTCCTGTTAGATAAATGATGTTGTGTTCTCAGTAATAATTTTGTTTATTATATCAGCTTTTTTTCTTTTTGCCTCAACTCTTTCTTTCTATTATTATTATTACTTACTTTTAGGCTGAAGATCCTCGTGAACGTATGCTACGTAAGCGTATATCAGGCACTGAATCTCAACAAGAACAAATTAGTGGATTGAAATCTGGTGGAGGCAGTGCCGTTGCCAGTAATGCACCTGAGCCAACTGCTTCGTCCGCATCGAAAAAATATAAAGAATTCAAGTTTTAGTGTAGTAATACATATATACATATATGTCCATCTATGGCTTGTTTTAAAGAGAAAGAAAGAAACAATAGCTATTCATCCACATTATTATTATTTCATACAGTAAATAAACAATAAAAAAAGTGATCATTATTTTTCAGTTAAAATGTATTTGTAAATATAATTAACATTTAAATAGTTTTCAAATAATTCTGATAATAGTAAATATCTTTTTATTACAAAAAAATGAATGATAATTGTGTTGTGATTTAGTGTAGCAATTATTTAATGAGTACAATACTAAGTTTCAATTGTGAAGTATAAAGTTTAAAGGAAGATGAAGAGTGTATGCATCTGCAACGCTGTGACCAATTCTGAGCCGTGTTTCCAAACAATAATCTGAACATAGTTCAGATAAACAATCAGTGATTCCATAGGGCGATGTCACATTTTGATTTCACCGCTCTTAGCTTCCTTCCAACTTACTCCTACGTTAATTAACATCGCTCAAGAACAAGTACAGAGATACGTCAAAAATTATCATTTAACTATTTGGCAGCTTTAATGTCCGATTGGTGTTTGTGGTTGACATATTGAGATGTTTGTTTGAATAAATGTATGATGATGAAGATAAGTTAATTCATGTTTTTTCCTTTCAACACCTGCCAATTATATAACACACAATGCAAAAGTCACTGGCGTCAGGTCTTAAAAATTTGTAATTGTCAATGCTCTTGGTGTATAATGGATTATTGAAAATAGTTTTTTTCAGCAAATGCATTCTTGAGGCTTTTTCGTTTTTATCTCTTCAAGATACACAGTTAGGTTACGTCCCTCCTGCTACTTTGATGTATTTGGGCAGTAGTGTTAAAAAGATTTAGGATTATAATATATACGAACTATTTTTCAAACCGAACATTAACACCATTGGCTATCGACTAAAACGGTCTAGAGGTTAAACATCCGTGCCTGAGACCGAAGGTTTCGAGTTCGATTCTTGTATGCGGGGTCGTGGATGTGCACCACTGAGAAGTCCCATATTAAGACGAAACGGTTGCCTAGTACTTTCAAGTTTTCGATGATAGTTTAACCTAGATCGGTTCGTGAGTTCGACGAGGTTTTTCAGAATGTCTGAACGTCATTACTTAGATTGCATTACAAGTCTTAAATCCAAGCTGATATCGACCAACGAGTGACTGCCTTTATTAAGAAATGGAATTAAGGCTTTTAGCGCCACCATTTTGTTGTTTCACGTCGTAGGGAAATAGGCAACTGTCGAATAAACTATTTGTCATTCAGGCATAGACAAATCGTATTTATAATGGTATTTATTATCAATGTGTCTCTTATAAGGGTTTCTTATGAAACAAATTTCGTCACCCTTGAAGAGAGGTGTCTTTATAAATGTACGGGTAGCAGTGTCTAAAATACCCTATTTCACATTTAGTCAGCCTCTTCAGTAATGTGAATACTTCTAAATACACTAAATCTATATGCAAAACCATTAGTTGCTTTGAATAGAGTTAGTATTCAATATGTATGATTCGAGAAATAATTTATTTACATTTTGCAGTTACAGTTTTGATCTTCGCAGGGTTACGTAAACTTTTTTAGCTGCGTAATGATCGAAGACTGAAGAGTGTATTTTATTAGGATAGTATTTTGATGTTCGTTAATATTACGGATTGATAAACCTTTTTTAAAGATGGACAAAATATTCATGAGATAGTTCACGAACCGATGTTTTTTTAATCTTTAAGTTATATAACTGAATATCAGCTCTGGATAGAGTTGATTAAACCATGTAAAAAAAATCATCGTTTGCGAATATTGTGTTCATTTCTAGATTTTGTTGTATACTTATGGGTTTTTTGGAATAATTGTAGCTGAGCACTTTCATATCATCGCTGGTGAAATACCAACAAAATAAAATTTATGGTTTTGAGATCGTGAAGAGAATATATAACTCAGGCGGATGATAGTGGTGGAGCTAGATATTCTGCAGTGAACATCAACTTTCAGATGCAGGTACATCCAGCTAACGAGTTCCAATTGGGATGAAACACGCGTCCTGGTTCCCACTGCTTGCTACCGTCCACCTGTGCTAATGTGGTGTGTCATCTTGAATTACTTAACGTACGAACGAACGTGTATACGTAGTAGCTGACTGACTGACCGTTCACCTCTTCTAAGTTTGAAGGCTTAATTATAATAAGATGATTAAAAAAGAAAATCTAGACATCTACAAAGTAGACTGTTCCGACCACATGGATCACTACCACTTACAAAGTGAGGGCTCTTTCCATCTCCGTCTGTATGAACATCAACTAGCTTTCAAACATCATGATGTATCCTGATTAATTACAACGCACGTGGACACGTTCAATCGTATAGATGTTGAGATTTTAGGTGAAAAGAAGACCAGAAAGCTTAAAGTTTGACAATCAGGTCAGTCAACTATCAGTAAACATATAAAGATCAGTAAATTAGGAAAATCGTGGACAAATATAGGATTAAGAATCTGGCCAAATAAAGAGACGATCAAAACAAATATGCAGACAACGAAAGATTAAAGGTCAATGATGATCAGTCAAGACTAAGGTTGGCAGAACGAGCTGTCGGTCATATGTGGAGAAATCCGAACGCCTCACTTCTAGCCGAAGTTAGTACTGGTGATGATTGGAAAAACAATGAAGACTGTATGATTAAATGATCTAGCCAAAAAAATGAAATTACTGATATTCTCTTGACTGATTTATAGAAAACATCCAGGTCTATTGGATGTCTTTAACCGAAGTACTGTCATGTTAATTCAGTCGTCCAAGAAACATTATCAGGCCCTCTCAAATTTGAAGATACACTTTCCGTATGATTACCCAAGAGATTGAAATGATTTATAAAACACAGAATAAATAGTTGTTATTGTACACCTATTCAACAAAATATTATTGCTGAATTGAAAGATGAATCATCCGACACAATAAAAATCAAAAGCTATTTATTATTATTATTATTATTATTATTATTATTTTGTGAACAAATATCAATCTTTAGCTTCGATCATAATGTGGATAAAATAGTAGGGGCTTAAATTAAGTCATTCGAACTTATGTTTGCTATGAAGACAAAGGAGTATTTTTTTCGGAATTATTTCCTTGATAATTATATTGTTTCTTACGTCATATATTGCCATTCTACCTATCTCTTTGAATGACATTCAGCTTATATCCAATCAGTCAGATGTTTGGAATCCGCTACACTTGATTTAATTCGGTAATATCATTCGTCCTCACACGATGATTGTAGTACAATGCTAAGTACACTAACCTATATTTCGTAAATGAGTTATATATGATGAAGTGAAATTATTTCCGTAAAGAACAGACTTTCAAGAACAGGAAGGTTCCATTAATCTACCGGGGGAATTTTCATCATAGTCTGGGAAAATATTTTAACTGTTTGGATATGTTGATTATCTAGAATTTTTATACCATACATATAGTTGAAGTTCAATAAAAAATGATATGGCTTAATGTAGGTGGATACATTTGATCAAATATTAGCCTCTAAATCTTGTGTACTACAGATTTATGTGACCTATACAAATAAAAGCATTTAGTTTTCAACTATTGTGTCCCATACTTAAATTTTGGTCCAATTCATCCGGTTGCATCATTCAAATTCATACAAAAATTCTGACTTAAAGCTGAGTACATAAGTCTGTACTTGATGAATGAATTAAATTACATCTTCCAAAACTACTAAGATAATACAATTACAATAAAAAAATATCTTAGATTTATGTACGTATGCGAAAATATTACAAGCAACATCGCTTCTGAACAAAAATATTGGAGAATACATAAGTTACTGATTAATATTAAGTAGTATAATTATTATATACAAAATACAACATGGCTGAAAGATAACATTAGTGTTTGGCTTTTCACATTTTCACTGATTTTTCAGCTGCTTCCAATTGTTTATGTAAATTACATCTTTAAGTAATAACAACCTCCGAAAATCATTATCGTAATTATTAACTGTTGCAGTATGATGGTTGATTTTTAGAATGTACAAGTATTTTTTATCGAATAAAATGATTTCTAGTGGCGTTAAGTTATATATATATATATATATATATATATAAAATTATATTTATATATTCTGTGCACCAGTTATTTATATGCAAATTAACTGATGTAATGGCTTTTCGGAAATTTAAAGGATTAACATTTTTTCCGTTGTTTTAATCTTTTCTTTTTATATCTGGTTAATATTTAATATGGGAAAAAAGGGGAATTTAGCGATAATACCAATTTCATTTTTTCCGTAATCCATTTAGAATATACTCCTCCATAAATTTTTATATATCTAAAAAATAAAATTATTTCTGACTTTACTGATGAATGACAACACATTAATTATTATTATTATTATTATTAATATTATTATTCGACATATCTTTATTATCAGAGCTTCATTGCAAAAACATAATTCTAAACATAGTAAATGAACACTGTATTTCTGTCTTTTTTGTATTCTAATCAAGTGGATATTATTTATTTTTAAATACAAGATTATTTTTTTAAATGAATAGTTAATTAATGAAGAGAACAATATTATTAATTCAACAAATAACAGTTCTATTGAACTACAAATTGTCCATCATGAAAAAAAAGAGTCTGTAATAATTGGAATTTCTTAAATTGTTACTAATTCCTGCTTTCGCCACAGTAAATAGTCATTTTGTATTTAGTGTTATCAATAGTATGAAATGTACGAGTGTTTCTATGACGAATGTTTAAACCAGTATTTTCGAATATTTGAGAGTTGGCTCTCATACGTCGTTGTGTTAATGACTATCTTCCTAACGGGAATTCTAATTTCTATCTTTATTTGTTAAGAGTGTTTTCACAAAAGGTACTTGATAAAGGGTGTTTCAATCAAGTTGTGTTATAAGTAGCCTGTCCACAAAGGTTTGTTGTCATGCCTTGATTTTAAACTTATGGTATGTGTATAACCTAACTATGTATGAACCTACTTGATCAGTAATCACGAAGGAAATCAGTCTCTTGATGCTACTTCATTACCCTAATGATTAGACCTCTCTTTGAATATCTATTATACGATCTTTTAAAAAAAACTATTTATTCATTTCTGATCCTCTCACTGTATCACAGCCATCAAGTATTTCATGATAACTTGAATC